TAGACAGGATAGCCAGGATATTGCAGGAAGATGGAAGGCAATGTATGTATTATGAGTTTCATTCCTCCTGCAGCGAACAGCTTCTCGTTTATTCCCTGGCATCTACTTACATGGTATCCATGACGATGCTAACAAGGTGCACTGAAAACCCCCTGAAAACCCCTTAAAACCCCTCCCCACATAATAAACCTGGACAATTGGCCCAAGTCGATTCCTGTAAATAAACTGCATAGAAAGTGCACGCAATCCACGAATGCCAAACAAATAAACAAACGAACGAGTGTGCATATAAGCTATACGCTATATGCTATACGCTATATATGCTATATGCTATATGCATTTCCAATATCAGCCAAGGATATTCGGCTGCGCTAAGTCCACATGACCTTCTAAAGTTGGTTGACTCTAGATGCCATGCAGGCACCAGGCGTCTGCAAAAGGGGGTGTGCTTTTTTCGGGGTGTGAAAGAGGGGGTGGCGTTTATTTTTTTTTTTTTTTTTTTTTTTCTTTTGATTAAGCAACTGCGAACTGCAAAAATTGTGCAGTGCGGATTGTGAAGAGCCTATGATGCAAGCGTTTCAGCGACACGGAGAGAAACTCTCAGCGAGAGCAAAAGAGAGGGGTAGCGAGAGAGAGACGGAGAGAGCAAAGCTCTGAGCCATGTGCACTTGATGCACAAGTGTTAGATGCCATTCGTGGGCCAAGAGCAGCCGAAGCAGCAGCAACACTCGTAAAAACGGCAGCAACATCGCAAGACAGGAGCAACATGAGCAACAAAGTGTTGCAACATTAAACCAAATGTAGCTTAAAATTATGAAATACCTTTTATGTACTTTACTTTTACTTTAAAAATAGAAACAGAATATTCGGAAAATTAAAAAAATCGAATTCTTTTTAATATTTTACTATTATTTTAATAAAATTAAGTATTCTATCCCAAAGGCTTGTTTTATATTACCATAAAATTTCCCAAAGATTAGGCCCCATTGTTTTTCCGAGTGCCGAGACAGTAAGCTTTTAAAGGCAGCCAGGAAAACCCACATAACAATCTATATGCTGCCGATGTTGCTGCCGTTTTTGCAGAGCTCGTGGGCTCTTGTTTTCGATTTCTGTTGCAGTTTCTGTTTCAGTTTCGATTAGTGTGTTAGTTGGGTTTCTGTTTCTTGAGCAGTGGCTCTCTTTTAAGCTCTCCGCTGTTCTCAGGGTCCCAGTTCTCGATTCTCAGTTCTCTGGGTCTGCTTGACAATTTTGCTACGCGGCTGTTTTGGTGGCTGCCAGTTGCACATTTCCGTTATATCCGTCAGCCAGCCAAAGCGCACACACTGCGTATGAGTAATATTCGCACTACGAAACCAAACAACCAAGCCAAAAAAAAAATCAAACAAAAAATCTAGCAAAAAATCCCCAATTAATCACGCAACAAGAGTAAAAAAAAAAGAAACAAATTGCAATAATCAAAGAAAAGTCAAAGCCAAGTCAAAAAATTAAATAAATAAAATAAGAAAGAAAAAAAAGAGCAAGGTGAGAGGGGAGAGGGGAGCAAGTGCAGCGCTGCCAACGGCGACGGCGACGCGGGCAGCGGTACGGGCTTTGTTTTGGCTTCAGTTTTGGCCCAGCAGCTTCGACTTCAGTTCGATTCGTGATTCGTGGTTCGTAGCTCTTAAGGCGCGCAAAGAAAATCCCAAATCGAAAATCGAGAAAAACTGCAGTACAATAGATCTAAATATTTTTTTGGAGTGAGTTCTAGACTTGAGTGTTGAAAACGAAACAATGTTGCACTTGCAATTACCACCCGCAGTGGGGGGAAATTGAAAAAAAAAAAAGAGTTCAACACCGGGGGTGAACAAAAAAAGTTGACAACAAAAAAAAAACACCGAAAAAAAAAACAGGAGCCCCCAAGACGTCACGCAAACAACAACAACCAGCTATGCCTGGCCCGGCTTTGTGGTCCGGTGAGTGTTTTCCTACTTTTGTTGTTTGTTTTTTGTTTTTTTGTTGCAAAAAAGTATAAATCTCATTTTAAGCCAATAAGCAGGGAGAGTAACCGCTCTCTCTCTCTCTCTCTATATCTGTCGATCTCTAGCGATCGCTTGCCGTCTCTTTCGGGAGAGAGATCGGCGAGAAGAGAGCCAAAGCGAGTCACTCTGCAAATTGCAAGTTGCAGCATTGCATTTCCGCATGCCGTCTCTCTCTCGCCGCCGCGATCCATGAATCAAGAACCCAGCAGCAGCAGCAGCAGCAGCAGCGGCGGCGGCAGCAACAACAATAAACTTTCACTTTAGCAGAGCGCGAAAAGAAAGAGAAAGAGAAGAAAGAGAAAGAGACGGGTGCCATAAGCCGTTGGCCAAAGGCTTCCTGGCATTGCAACTTGCAGCAGCAACTTCAGGTCTTAACACATTTGTTGCTGCTGCTTTTGCCGCTGCCTTTGCTCATTATAAAGTCGTAAGCCATTTACGTTGTCTGAGTGCGCAGTAGTGTGAGTGCGAGGCAAAATGTCAGTGAGCAATAAGGAAATGAAATGTGCGCCAAACAATTATTGTGTGTTGTTGTTGCCTAGCTGCTTTGCTGCCTTACTGCCGCTGGCAGCGGTTGAAATCGAAAGTGCTTTCAGACAATGGTCAACGAACGTATGGAAAGGGCATTAGAGAAATGCTGCTGTATGTGTGGGTGCAAATGCAATGCGAATGGCACAGCGGAGTGAAGAGCAAAGCCGCATTTCTTTTTGGCCATTTCGCAATTCATGACATTGCTTCTGGTTTCGAAGTTAAGCTCCGTCTGGCGTTTTGTCCGCCAAACTTTTGTCCGTTTGTCCGCTCAATTAATTATGTAGTTGTCCGTTTGTCCGCGAAACTCTTGTCCGTAACATAGTAGTTGCTTTAGGGAAACTCTTGTCCGTACTCTGGGTTTTTTATTCCTTTTCCCTTCAATAGATTTGTCCGTTAATCCTTTGTCCGTTTAACCTGTACTTCCTTGTCCGGTTTTTTGAAGCAATTGATCAGCATGTTGCTATTACTTCTCATGTTGCTGCTTTGCTTTTCCCCTGCTTTGCTGTGTTGCTGCTGTGCTTTTTGCTCTCGACGTTGCGCAATCGCTTGTCATTGTCCATTGTTGAGTTGCTGTCGTTGTCGTTGCTCTAATTCAAATTAACTTTTACCTTTCCACACACATTTTCACACCCTCTCTCCGTCTTCTTCTGCCGCCGATCGTAGAACTCCATTGTCAGAGAGAGATGGCGAGAAATAGATAGACAGAGAGAGAGAGGGAGAGGGAGCGAGCAGGAAGCAACAATCTATGCTGCAACTGCAACGACTGATGTTGCTACAGTTACTCAGGAAAGTGTCTGCTGGGAAAGAGCTTTTGCTCAGCAACCCCTCTCTCTGGACTCCTGCCCCACAGACCGCCACCCCACCCCCTCCCCTCCCCCTTTGGTGGGAAGTGCAATGGCACAGTTTTGCTTCAAAAGCAAGGAAGAAAAGAAAAGAGAAGAAGGGTGGCAGCCCCGCCTCTTCACAAAATGGGAGTTGAAAGTTTGGGAGCTTTTTTGAGGGGTGGTAGGGGGAGGGAGAAAGCTTTTCACTAATGCCCCCAGCCTACCCCTCCCCCTGCTAACCCTCCCCTAAGCTCGCCGGTCAACGTCCACACCAATACACCCACACGCAAACACAAACACACCGACAACATATGCAACTGTGAATTCTAATTTGAATGCATATGCAGTGCTTAGATAAGGGAGCGACAGAGATGGAGCTAGCAAGGCGAAGGGGAGAGAGGGAGAAGGAGAGAGTGAAGTTTAGTTGCAGCTAGAATTTAGTTGCAGTTGCAATTGCAATTGCAATGAACTCCAGCTGGTGGGTGGTAGTTGGGGGGTGAAAGGGGTGCAAGTGAGTGGGGGAGAGTGAGAAAGAAAGAGAGGTGGACAACAAAAAACGAGCCTAGTGGCTCTGCCGACGTCGACGTCGCAGCCAAAGCATAACTATGACGTCGCTGCTCGCTGGTGAGTGTGTTAGTATGTGTGTGAGTGTGTGCTTTTTTTTGTACGTTTTGTCTATTGGTTTTCATTTTCGTTCGCTGCCGACGTCGACGCTGCTAATGCCCCGATCGCGATAGACAGAGCGAGAGAGAGAGAGAGAGAGCAAGAGCGGTGGAGCTGTGGAGCATTAGAAGCGTAGAGAGAGGGGAGGGGGGAGTCCACGCCTGCGCCGACAGCGACGCCGGCAGCAACAGCAGCAGCGTTTCGTGGCTGCTGCTTTCTTTCGCTCGCTTACTCCTTTCATTTCACTTTATTTCGTTCGCATGTACGCACGTTGGCCGCGGAGCAACATCTCCCCGAAACAAGCAACAAAAAAAAAAACAGAAAACAGAAAAAAGAAACAAACAGAAAATAAAACAAAACCAAAGGCACTGAAATTAAACAACAGCAACAACAAACACGGCAGCAGCCGTCGCTCAGACGCGGAAACTTGGCTCGAACTTTAGTTTGGTTTCAGTTGCCAAATGGATAGTGGCTAGAGTGCGGCGGTATCGGTTGAATCGGTTGAATCGGTTGAATCGTCTGAATCGGTTGAATCGTCTGAATCGGTGGAATCGCCTGTATCGGTTAGGCACGCGCCAAAAACCCTTTTTTTTAAGTTTCTTCAAGTTGTTAGTGGTACTCAAAAAACAAAACAAAAACAGCATACATTATACATGTGTTTATGTAAAGTATAGGCAAGAATCGAAAGCCAAGAGTGGTATGTGCCCTTAGTTTTGACCCAAGACCAAGACCCAAGATCTAAAAATAAAGACCCCTGACACACACACACATGCTACATGCTACACCCATTACACCCACCCACCCACACACAGTCTCATTTCTCAATCTCAATCTCAATCTCATTTCGAGGATCAGAAAAGCAGGAGCAACATCAATCGATTCATTATGTTTATGTGCATTTTTTTTGTTCGAGTGACCTAACTTTTTTGGCAATGGACGCAGACTTCTTTTTCTAAACATCGCAATCGAAATCGAAATCATAATCATAGTGTTAGAAGAAGAAGTCCACGAAAAAAGAAATGACAAATGGTTGTTGTGATCGAAAGTGTGTTTTCTAATTGTTCGATGAAATGTGCTTGATGAGAATCTGTATCGATATCGGTGTTTGCCAGCCAGCCACAAAGATGGCCAACCATCATCACTCGTTTATCCGTCTGTATCTGCCCACCTAGAGGAGATTAGCCCCGATTTGCCGCCCAAATGAATGCCCAGCAGCCGCTGATCCTGGAGCAGCCAAAGGCCAGCAGTGTTGTTGTTGTTGCTGCATCGCCAGCTGCGGAAATTGAGGCGGCAACGAGCACGGAAGCGGTGGCAAGTGCATCTGCAACATCGCCGGAATCGATTTCGAATACCCAAAATGGTAGCGGAATTAATGGCAATAATCATGGCTGCCGACGGATCAGCCAGGAGGAGCAGGATCAGCAGGATCAGAAGGATCACAATGACCAGGTCAAGGATGTGGTGGCCAATAAGCTGACCATTATCAAGACGCCGTTGAACAAGACGCTGCTGAAGAAGTGCAACAGCAATGGCAGCCTGCAACTGCAACTGCAACCGCACAATAATGGTAACAGCAACCTCAGTAGCAACAACAACAATAGCACTCGCAACAGCAACAACAGTGCGAATAGCGACAACATCGAGATTGGCGCCTGCGATTCCGGTTTGCAAAGCGGAAATAGCAATGAACAAGAACCATTTGCCAACAACAATAATGATCGCCATCATCACATTTACCACCACCACCATCATCACTATCATCATCATCATGGCGGCGGCGGCGGCGGCGATGATAAGGGCGAAACAACGAGCGGCGATGTTGCATCCTCATCCTCGGCGGACTTGAGGCAGGTCAAGGAGGAGCCATCGCTGCAGGATAATGACAATCATGTGAAGGCAACAGCAGGAGAAGAAGAAGCTGATAAAGGAGGAGCAGCAGCAGAGGGAGCAATTGGAGGAGCAACTGCAACTGCAACAGCAGCAGCAACAGCAGCAACACCTTGCAATCCCAGCAAGTGCAACAAGTGCAATTCGCACAACAACAACAGCAACTGCAACAACAACAATAATACCATCAGCAATAATAATAACAATACCAACAACAACAACAACATCAACAACAATAACCATTACAACAATTACAATAACTATTATAAGAAAAAGTCTCGTATGCCGCCCATTTGCCGTTAGTATTGCATCCATCTATATATATATACTCTATATATCCCCCAAAAATCATACTTAATCATAAATGCGTAAGAACACCAAACCGAAACCGAAACCACCAGGCACCACCCCCTCACCCCCTGCTACCCTCTTGGTATACCACCCACCCCTTATCACACCCCTTACTTATGATTTACTACCCCTTCCCCTCCAGAAAATTCCAGTCAAACGTAAAAGTGCAACCAACAATTGGCCAAGACTATTGAAAAAACGAAAAAAGACAGAACAAAACAGAACCCCCACCCCTAAAAAAAAACACAAACAAAAAAACCAACCCTACAAACCCACTGGAATGCATGCTGCCACTGCCACTCTGCTCTGCAGCAGAACCAAAAAAAGCAGTCTAGATGCTTCCCGAACGAGTCACAATAATACCAAAAATCCAAAAACATACTAAATCCAAAGCCAAATCAAATGAAAAAGCAAAAACAAAGAAACCACAGGCAAACACACACAAAAGCAAGGCAAGAAAAGCAACGACAGCAACAGCAAAAGCAAAAACAACGATCGGCAAACAAGAGAATTTTTTGTTTTTATCAAAATTTGAACAATCGGCAAAGACAAGAAAAAACGAAATTATGACATCCATAGGTAAATTTGTGACTATATCCCAAAATCAAAATTTAAATTATAATCAAAACAAAAAAAAAACACTAACACACACACACATCCAATTGTGAGACCCATCCGCTCGAAAGGATATCTTTGGAAGTCTAAGAATCGGGGAGTTTCCAACCCCTAGTTCTTAAGACCTCCAAATTATCCTTGCGACAACCGCTTTCCCCACTTCCCAAAATCACCATAATCGATTAATACTGAATCTATCTATCTAACCACCTAATAAAATAGTTACGAATAATACAAATCTTAGATATAGATACTATAGTACTTACAACTGCTTATCTCACCACTTTCAATGGCTTATCTTCAGATCATTTTTCTTTTTTAACTACTTGGGGCTTTCGGATTTTAAATTAATCTCTGTATCAATTTAAAATAATTTCTCAGTTTACATACTCATTAAGTATTTGTTTTATTCGAAATCTTAAGATTATTGAAGGTTAATCAAATGTTAAAGCTTTAGATAAGCTTTTCAAGCAATTGCATTGATAGCTTATTGGATTCCAATGATTCTTCTTTTTAAGTCTACTCTTGGTACCAGAATTATATTATCTTCTATGAGGGGTCATAAAAGTCTATCAATAAATTTTAAAATCGGGTATTTAACAAATGTTGTATTTAGGCTATCCTTATTAGCAGCTCTCTGGAATTCCAGTTGATTCCAGATCAAAATTTACACGCACACACTTGCAGCTTTCCATCAAGTCAAGAACTCTTTCCGAAACTTTCTCTCACTCGCTTTATTTTTCTACTACATATCCCCACTTCGATCATGACTTAATCGCTATTTAGTTAGCCCAGAGTTAAGATTAGATGCGAATCTGGTTGAAACTATCGTAAATTCTGGCTTGTTTTTGTTTGCCTCGAATGCAGTCTCCTTTTGACTCTGTTGATCTGGGATCTGCGAACAGAACAGGTACATCATGCCTCCACCTTTATATATCTGTATCTGAACTCTAGTATGTATACAGTTGCGTGTAGAAAAGTCGGCTCCACGCGCCCACACACACACACACGCCCCCACGCACACAGAGGCCAAAAGATATAGACGCAGAGAGGCACGCATGGTTTTATTGTTTAGAATAATCTTGCGCTTGATAATGAAAATAGGTCAAATTTTAAAAATACACACACAAACGACATTGTCGTCGCTGCTGCCGAGTGAGTCGAATGAGTCGTACACTCGTACGAGTCGCCCGCCGACGAGAGAACTTTTGCCGCTATATAGTTTATCTCTCGGCTTCAGTGTGTGCGTGTGAGTGCGTAAAGAGATCGCCATTGGATAGATAGAGAAAAAATGGGGAGTTGGGAATGGGAATGGGAATGGGTATGATCGGAGGGGCATGGGAATGGGAATCGAAATGAGAGATGGAAAAGTCGTTGCTGGGCCAACGCACCAAGTGACCGAATCGGTCAGATAGAGAGGGAGATAGCGAAAGGGACGGAGGGAGAGGAGGTGGGAGAGGGACAGGGAGATATAGAATAGAATGGGCAATCGAAAGTTCAACTATCGCAACTAAACTGAGAGAAATTATTCATGTTTTCAAAATGTTTTTTCACTATTACTAATATTAAGATTAAACTTAGAATGAAGATATGTCCGTATTATAAAAAAATCAATAAAATATAAAATATACTATGGCGAATAAAAAAACCAACAACTTGGTGAAACATTTACAATAGTTTAAATGTAACAAGTCGAGAACTCATTTTTATATAATGTTTTTAATCTTTTAAAAATAGATGGAGGATCCAGGATGCACTGAACAATTTTGTAGCATACTTTTTTAGAGCGCATTAAAGCGCAAATAGTTAATAGTTAGGCAAAAAAAATTCTTTTTAATTTGATTTCACCGTCTAAGATATTTACCGATTTTTACAAATTACGATCATATTTTTTTCTGTGTACCAAAAACGCCTTGCAACATGTACTTATTGCATTGTAATCTGTTGATCGCAAAGCAACTTTAGCCGACAGCAGCAACATCAATACCCAACAGCAACATCTGCAAAAGGCAAAGAAAAGAGTAGCGAGCAAAGAAGAAGCTTTGACCCATTTCGGTGAAAGAGTTCTGCTTTTGGGGGAAGCGACCATATATCATTTATCATACCCCTCAGATCTGAGAGTGCTGATCGATCGAGCTCATGTAATTAACCGAATTCCTCACATCTCGGCTTCGTTTTCGACCAAATCTTTGGCTTTTTGCTCGCTTTAACCAGTTATTCGCTTCTTTCCGTTTATTTTTTTTTTTTGGTTTCTTACCATTTAGCCGCTGTTGCTCAGTGGGGAAGTAAATGCAAATTGATCGGTTATTTGTTTATATTCCATCAGCGAATCAATGCAAAGGCAAAAACAAAATTCGGAAAGAAAAGAAACTTCCGCAACAAATTTATGCGAACTTATGTATTTATGCATACGTAGTATCCACCCATGCGGCGTCTGAGAATTTCTCAAGATGTAGGAATTTATTGTTCATCTTATTATCTATCTGATTTTTGACTTTACAAGCCACTCCGTCTCTTTGGGGAAAACAGTCGTACTTAAAAACTATTTATTGGCAAAAATTTACTGCTACACTAAAAAAATGTAGTATGGAGATAAGTTCGTTCCCAACTGGAATTTGTTTACCATTTTTCGGTCGAAACAATGGTAATAATGATCCAAATATGGATTGTCATACCTTTCTGAACTCGTTATGAAAATTCCAATCGATTGGCATTCAAACCTGGACATTTTATTTTTTTTGCCATTTTTCGCAAAAAATCATGGTGTACCCCCTTATAAAAAAATTGATAATTTGCGAAAATTTTATTTTTTTAAGATCACCCGGAAAGTGTCATGTATTTTTTTATTATTTTGTTATCTGTTCAAAGCAGTATGTATTTTTGGTGTAGGACCATTTTTGGCCAAGTTACAGCAAAAAAACAAAAAGAAAAAACTCAAATTTTTACCAAAAATCCAAACCCCCATTTTTCACGAAAATATAATTCGTGTTTTGACCGTAACAATGGAAATATGGATCCAAATATGGATTTGCAGCTTTTCTTTATATCAGTGTACAGAAGATTTAATATTTAAAATATATATTGGGATATTTAAACCGGACTTTTAGTTACTTAGTTACTTAGTTAATCTCGCACCTGTTGGCCAATAACTTAACCTGATCCCTGGGATCTTCTCCCCTCTCCTCTCGCCCCTTTCTTCCGCAGGAATTATGACACTGAGCCGTGGCCCGTACAGCGAGCTCGATAAAATGAGCCTTTTTCAAGACCTCAAACTCAAACGGCGGAAAATCGATTCGCGATGCAGCAGTGACGGCGAGTCCATAGCGGACACGTCCACCTCGTCGCCGGATCTGCTGGCGCCCATGTCGCCGAAGCTCTGCGACGGCGGATTGGGCCCAGGGGCATCGTCGGTGGGGGTGGGGGGTGTGTCCCTGAACCTGCCCCTGCCGCTGCCCATGTCGCTGCCCCTGCCCCTGCCCTTGCCACTGACTTCGGCCTCTTCGGCGACGGCGGCGGTCACCGTTTCGCTGGCAGCGGTGGTGGCGGCAGTGGCCGAGGGATCCGGTGGAGGATCGGTAGCCGGGACGACAGTGGTGACGGCCTCGGTGGCGGGACCCTGCGTCTCCACCTCCTCGACGACGACGGCGGCGGCGGCCAGCTCCTCGACCCCCTCCTCGCTATCGTCCTCGCTATCCTCCTCCTCCTCGTCATCGTCGACCAACTCCTCCAGCAGCAGCAGCACCTCCACCACCGCAGGAGCCACCTCCTCCACCACGGCCACCTGTCCAGCCAGCAGCAGCAGCAGTAGCAATAAAAGCGGAGGCAGCATCAAGCAGGAGCTCCACACGGAGATCCACTCCTCGAGCAGCGCGATTTCGGCGGCAGCCGCCTCCACGGTGATGTCACCGCCGCCCGCAGAGCCGGCGAGATCGAGTCCAGAAACGCCCACAAACGAATCGGGATCGGGAGGAGCAACAGGAGGATCAGGAGGATCAGCAACTGGAGGATCTGCAATCAATGAACACCAAAACAATGGCAACGGAAGCGGGGGCAGCAGTCGCGCCTCGCCCGATTCGCTGGAGGAGAAGCCCTCGACCACGACGACGCCCACGAATGGGGTGATGTCATCCGGAGGAGGAGCAGGAAATGGAGGAGGAGCCACCGGAAGCAGCGCCAAGCTGAGCGAGGCGGGAATGAGTGTGATACGCTCCGTTAAAGAGGAGCGTCTGCTCAGCGTCTCCAGCAAGATGATGGCCTTCCACCAGCAGCGGGAGCAGGAGAGCAAGGCGGCGGGACATGTGACGGTTCTAGTGACGCCCTCGAGGATCAAATCGGAGCCACCGCCACCCGCCTCGCCCTCCTCCACATCCAGCACTCTAAGGGAAAGGGAAAGGGAGAGGGAAAGGGAGAGAGAAAGGGAAAGGGAACGAGATAGAGAGCGGGACATCAGCTCCTCGCAGCAGCATCTGAGCAGCAGGATCTCGGCCAGCGGTTCGCCGCCCACTCAGCTGGGACACGGACAGGGCGCCATGGGAGCCACCATCGTCCAGACGCACCATCTCCACCAGCAACTCACCCAGCCACTGACTTTGCGCAAGAGCAGCCCGCCCACGGAGCATTTGCTCAGCCAGTCGATGCAGCATCTCACCCAGCAGCAGGCCCTCCACCTGCACCACCTGCTCGGCCAGCAGCAGCAGCAGCAGGCGTCGCATCCCCAGCAGCAACAGCAACAGCAGCAACAGCAACAGCAGCAACAGCAGCAGCAGCAGCAACACTCGCCGCACTCCTTGGTGCGCGTGAAGAAGGAACCGAATGTGGGCCAGCGGCACTTATCGCCCCATCACCAGCAGCAATCGCCGCACCTGCAACAGCAACAGCAGCAGCAACACCTACACCAGCAGCAGCAGCAACACCTACACCAGCAGCAACACCACCAGCAGCAGCAGCAACCACAGGCGCTGGCCCTCATGCATCCCGCCTCGTTGGCGCTGAGGAACAGCAACCGGGATGCGGCCATTCTGTTTCGGGTGAAGAGCGAGGTGCACCAGCAGGTGGCCGCCGGGCTGCCGCATCTGATGCAGTCCGCCGGCGGAGCAGCGGCGGCAGCAGCGGCGGCAGTGGCCGCCCAGCGGATGGTCTGCTTCAGCAATGCGCGGATCAACGGGGTCAAGCCGGAGGTGATTGGCGGACCGCTGGGCAATTTGCGACCGGTGGGTGGAGGTGGCAACGGAGGAGGCGGTTTGAGTGGCGGCGGAGGAGGAGGGGGCTCATCCGTGCAATGCCCCTCGCCGCATCCCTCCTCCTCCTCCTCCTCGTCGCAGCTGTCGCCGCAGACGCCCTCGCAGACGCCGCCCCGCGGCACGCCCACCGTCATCATGGGCGAGAGCTGCGGGGTGCGGACCATGGTCTGGGGCTACGAGCCACCGCCGCCAACGGTGGGTCAGTCGGTGGGGGGACAGCAGCAACAGCAGCAGCATCCCCAGCAGCAACAGCAGCAACAGTCGCCGCACCACCAGCCGCAACAGCAGCAGCAGCAGCAACACTGCCTCTCCTCGCCCTCCGCCGGCTCCCTGACGCCCTCCTCCTCCGGCGGCGGCTCGGTGGGCGGACCCCTGACGCCCTCGTCCTCGGTGACGCCGCAGAACAACGAGGAGGCCGCCCAGCTGCTGCTCTCCCTGGGACAGACGCGCATCCAGGACATGCGGGCCAGGCCGCATCCCTTCCGCACGCCGCATGCCCTCAACATGGAACGCCTGTGGGCGGGCGACTACTCGCAACTGCCGCCCGGTCAACTGCAGGCCCTCAATCTGAGTGCCCAGCAGCAGCAGTGGGGCAGCAGCAACTCGGGCGGCGGACTGGGCGGCGGAGTGGGCGGAGGACTGGGCGGAAGGGGCGGAGGCCTGGAGGCGCCGCACGAGCCAACCGACGAGGACGAACAGCCGCTCGTCTGCATGATCTGCGAGGACAAGGCCACTGGGCTGCACTACGGCATCATCACGTGCGAGGGGTGAGTTTCTAGGATCATTAATATGGGATTTTTAATATATTTTAATACTTTAGCCGAAGTAAAACTTAGGCTTTTAAATTATACAAATTTATTTGTTTTTTTTAACGGGTCACCAACTTAAAGTACATAATTATATAGATAATTACTACATTAGATCGATTTGACATCTAAGATCAATTTTAATTTGATATGTGGCCAGGTAAATTTGACTTGGTCGAAAATAGTATTTCATGTAAAAGTGATATGGGTTTTTTGTTGTGTGTAGTAAAAGTAATAATAATTTTAAATATAAATAAAAAATAATTGTATAATTAGCTGTCTAAATATTAGTAAACGTTCGCTTACAATTTATTCATAATTCAATTCCCTTGATTAAATTCACTTTTAAAAAAACATAAAAAAAAAAAAAATATATATAGAATTATTGTTAGCACGAGAAATACATTTATTTTCCTTTAAAAATGAAATAATCTCTAGAACCTTAATTAATTACACTATGCAGCATCAAAAATTAACCTCGATGAATGCTATTTTTTTGGATTCGTTACGAATTCCCAAGTTAAACTGCGTTTTCCAAAGAGTTCCCCGACGCAAGGATTCTTAGCAAAAGGACCTCAAAGTTCGAAAAATGCTGAATTTGACCAACTTTGCGGAGCTCTCAGAGGCAAATGGATGCATGGCTTGGTTCGAAGTTAAAGTTTTTTAAAAGATACACCCTTTATCTTTTAAACCCCATACATAAAATAATTTTAGGATTTTTTTTAAGGCAGAAATAAATTCCAAAAATCATAGTCAAAAAACTGAAAAACATACAGCTGCGGTCAAAATAGTAGCAGTGTTGCCGCCTTGTGTTTTTAAAAGTTTGATGTTGTAATTTTTGCTTATCCAATTAGTCTAATAGTAAAATTATAATCAATACAATATTACGAGGAAAAGATCAATTACAACAACAAACTTTTAAATACACAGGGCGGCAACACTACTACCATTTTGACCGCTGCTGTATACTTTTATGTTTTTTGACTATGTTTTCTAGAATTTGTTTCTGCCTTAAAAAAAATCTTAAAAATTTTTTAAGTATGGGGTTTAAAAGATAAAGGGTGTATCTTTTAAAAAACTTTAACATCGAATCAAACCATGCATCCATTTGCCTCTGAGAGCTCCGCAAAGTTGGCCAATTTCAGCATTTTTCGAACTTTGAGGTCCTTTTGCTTAGAATCCTTGCGTCGGGGAACTTTTTTGAAAACGCAGTTTAACTTGGGAATTCGTAACGAATCCAAAAATATAGCATCCATCGAGGTAAATTTAAAAAGCACTAAAAATGCTGCACAGTGTTATTTAGCGATATTTTTAAAATAACATAACTAAGAACTAAGGCCATTTCTTCATGCTGGGATTTCTATAAAAAACAAAAATAAAAAAAAATAAAAAAAATGGAGAAAATAGGTTTAGAATATTATGGATTATGCGTAGCTTAAAGTTAGGATTATAAAAGTGCCATAGATAACAGGGAGATTAAAAAAAAATATATTAAATAAGAAATAAATAAAAAACAAGAAAGGAAGCTAGCTTCGGCCAGCCGAAGCTTATATACCCTTGCAGATCATTCCTATTAATTAACAAATCGCAAAAATGTTAATTTTCTAATATTTCTCATTTATTTTCCGATCGTTCCTATGGCAGCTATATGATATAGTCGTCCGATTTTGATCAAATTAAAATTGAAATTCGGAAATATTTAAAAAGAGTCATATCCTAGAGTAGAAGATAATACAATAAAAATCAAAGAAGCTAGAATTTATTTCCTATTACTTTTCCATTAATTTTCCGATCGTTCCTATGGCAGCTATATGATATAGTAGTCCGATTTTTTAAATAATTAATTCGAAATTCAGAAATATTTAAAAAATAACATCCCCAAAAGTAGAAGGTAATATTTCAAAAAACACCGAAGCTAGAATTTTTTAAAGTTTTTTTCTTCCGATCCTTCCTATGGGAGCTATAAGATATAGTTGTCCGATCCGGTCGGCTCCGACATATATACTACCTGCAATAGAAAGAAGACTTTTGCGAAAGTTTCGTCCCGATAGCTCAAAAACTGAGAGACTAGTTTGCGTAGAAACAGACAGACGGACAGACGGACAGACGGACAGACGGACAGACAGACAGACGGACAGACGGACAGACGGACATGGCTAGATCGACTCGTCTTGTGATGCTGATCAAGAATATATATACTTTATGGGGTCGGAAACGTCTCCTTCACTGCGTTGCAAACTTCTGACTGAAATCATAATACCCTCTGCAAGGGTATAAATATAAAAAATAATTAAAATAAATAAGTGGAACAAATAGGTTTCGAATATAATGGATTATGCATGATTTAAAGTTAGGATTATAAAAGTGCCATAGGTAACAAGGAGATAAAAAAATAAAATAATAAAAAAATAAATAAAAAAAAAAATAATAAATTAAAAAATAAACAAAAATTTAAAAAAATGGAGCAAATAGGTTTCGAATATTATGGATTATGAATAATTTAAAGTTGGGATTTTAAAAAGCCATAGGTAAAAGGGAGTTAAAAAAAATATAGTAAATTATTTAAATTGAAGAGAAGTAAAAGTAAATGTTGATAAGTTCAGATTAGACACTTAGACACTTGACAATGCTTCGCAGTTTCTAATCTTCTATCCCTATCCTATCCTATCCCATCCACCAGGTGCAAGGGCTTCTTCAAGCGGACGGTGCAGAACCGACGCGTCTACACCTGCGTGGCGGACGGCACCTGCGAGATAACCAAAGCACAGCGCAACCGTTGTCAGTATTGTCGATTTAAGAAGTGCATCGAGCAGGGCATGGTGCTGCAAGGTGAGTGGTCTTACTAGGGACTTGTCGTAGATCAGCCCCTCCTAACCAGGATTCCTTCTCTCCCTTTAGCCGTTCGCGAGGATCGCATGCCGGGCGGTCGCAACAGCGGCGCCGTCTACAATTTGTACAAGGTGAAGTACAAGAAGCACAAGAAGACCAACCAGAAGCAGCAGCAGCAGGCCGCCCAGCAGCAGCAGCAGCAGCAACAGGCGGCGGCGCAGCAGCAACACCAGCAGCAGCAACACCAGCAGCAGCAGCAACATCAGCAGCACCAGCAGCTGCACTCGCCGCTGCACCATCACCACCACCAGGTGGGTCACCAGTCGCACCACCCGCAGCAGCAGCACCACCCGCAGCTGTCGCCGCACCACCTGTTGTCGCCGCAACAGCAGCAACTGGCCGCCGCGGTGGCCGCAGCTGCGCAGCACCAACAGCAGCAGCAGCAACAGCAACAGCAGCAGCAGGCCAAGCTGATGGACATGAAGCCCATGTTCCTGGGACCGGTGCTCAAACCGGAGCTTCTCCAGGCACCGCCCATGCACAGTCCGGCGCAGCAGCAGCAACAGTCGTCGCCGCATCTCTCGCTCAGCTCGCCGCACCAGCAGCAGCAGCAGCAACAGAATCACCACCAGCAACAGCAACCAGGTGGAGTATCTGGGGCACAACTGCCGCCGCATCTCGTAAACGGAACGATACTGAAAACGGCGCTGACCAATCCCAGCGAGATTGTGCATCTGCGCCACCGCCTCGACTCGGCGGTGAGCTCCTCGAAGGACCGGCAGATCTCCTACGAGCACGCCGTGGCCATGATCCAAACGCTGATCGACTGCGATGCCATGGAGGACATCGCCACGCTGCCGCACTTCAGCGAGTTCCTCGAGGACAAGTCGGAGATCAGCGAGAAGCTGTGCAACATCGGCGACTCGATTGTGCACAAGCTGGTGTCGTGGACCAAGAAGCTGCCCTTCTATCTGGAGATCCCCGTGGAGATACACACCAAGTTGCTGACGGACAAGTGGCATGAGATACTCATCCTGACGACGGCCGCCTATCAGGCGTTGCATGGCAAGCGGCGGAGCGGCGACAGCGGCAGCAGCAGGCACAGTTCACCAGCCTCGACGCCCTCGACGCTGGTTACCTCGCCACCGGGAACGCCCAATGCCTCGCCCGCCGCCCAGCCGCTGCACAAGGACGATCCGGAGTTCGTGAGCGAGGTGAACTCGCATCTGAGCACCCTGCAGACCTGCCTGACCACGCTGATGGGTCAACCGATTGCCATGGAGCAGCTGAAGCTGGACGTTGGCCATATGGTGGATAAGATGACCCAGATCACGATCATGTTCCGGCGCATTAAGCTCAAGATGGAGGAGTACGTTTGCCTGAAGGTCTACATACTGCTGAACAAAGGTACGTGGTTTGCCGCTCTATACAATCTATACTTTATATATATTATATTATATATCTTTACAATCCAGCAGAAGTGGAACTGGAGAGCATCCAGGAGCGGTATGTCCAGGTGCTGCGCTCCTACCTGCAGAACTCCTCGCCGCAGAATCCGCAGGCGAGGCTCAGCGAGCTGCTCTCCCACATACCAGAGGTAGGTTCTTGGATCTACACTAGTGCACACGGCATAATTATTTTGACAGATTTGAATGTTAGCTGTACTCACCAGGGACCGTAAATAATCATTATTTGAGATTTTTATTTTAAAAAGACTACTGTGATATTTTGTTTTAAACGTCAAAATTAACGTTCCTTTTACTCTTGTCCACAAAGTATATGTATTTCAACAAATATGGAAAGCAAATTAACTATTATTTGTTCATGTCTATAAAGTGCATAAAAACCAGTTAAATTGTTGATTAAAACTTGTAAAAACCTCAGTAAGCCTTTTAAAATAAAAATCTCAAATAATGAATAATTACGGTCCCTGATAGAAAGAGCACTTCAATTCCGTTTAAATGACACAAAAGTGTTCTTAACCCATTAAGACCCCTTTGAAAAGTGAGCAAATTTTGTGAAAGTCAAAAATGTTTTGATGCAAACTTTTTCCCCAATCAAAATTGATTATAACTGCAAAAAAAAATATTTCAAAATATTTTTCCTTGTATTTTTTATGATTTTTTGAATGGAACGATCTCAGTAAAATGTTGTATGAAAAGTTGGAAAAAGCGGCTAAAATTTTCATTTTTAAAAATATTTTGAATTTTTTCTTTTTTGTTCAGTTATTATTAATTTTGATTGGGGAAAAACTTTGCATCAAAACATTTTTGGTGCCAAAATGTTTCTTTTATAAATTCAAAATATGAGAAGATTTAACTTAAAAATTTGTCAAAATAATTATGCCGACCAGTGTAGAGGATCACCCTTCACCCCTAAAACTCTCCCCATTCCTTAACCCACCTTTTAGATCCAGGCTGCCGCCAGTCTGCTGCTCGAGAGCAAGATGTTCTATGTGCCCTTCGTGCTCAACTCGGCGAGCATAAGGTAGCAGATGCTTGAGCACGGCCTGCTGCCAGATCCTCCGGGTTCTCCGGGTTCTCCGGTTTCTCCGCTGCAGGAGCGCCGGCGGCTGAGGCAGCAGCAGCAGCAGCAGCAACAGTTGCTGCGCGATCTGCCCAAGATTAAGATCGAGATTGGGCAGGCACAGGAGCAGCCAGAGGAGGAGGAGCAGCCAGAGGAGGAGCAACAGGAGGAGCCATCCCGATCCACGTCCATTTTAAAGACTTCGCTGCTCAGTGGAGCGGCGGCCACTTTGGCCACCTTGACGGCGGCTGCCGAGCAGATAGCCCGATCCTCCCACAGCAGCAGCAGCAACAACAGCAGCAGCAACAGTTTAGAAGAGAGCAAAAGACTTGAGCATCAACAACAACAACAGCAACCACAACAGCATCAGCAGCAACAATATACATCAATACTACACACGGCCTTAATGTCACAGCGTTCGATGCCAGCAGCAGCAACATCAACAGCAGCAACAACAGCAGCAACATCAACAGCAGCAACTACATCGCCCACGCCTGCGCATGTGCTGAAAACAGCGGTGACCTTGGCCAGTCTAAGTGAGATAGCCACTGCACGCCAGCAGCAGCAGCAGCAATTGCTGGCGTTGCAGCAGCAACAGCAACAGAAACTGCCCAGAAGGATAATCAACTTTGGCAGCAGCACTGCCACCAAAGGATTGGGAGCAGGAGCAGCAGCAGCAGCAGCAGCAGCAGCAGCAGCAGCATCAGTGGGCATGGCAACAGCAACAGCAACACTTGGACGCAGCAGCAACAGCAACAATCGCCAGCAACTGGTCCCCAGTCAAGTGGGCCAAGTGGCGAATGGTAAGCAGAAAGACTTGTGAGCCCTGTGTTTGCGATAACGTTTGTGTACCCCTTGTGTTACCCTCGCAACAACAGCAACAGCGCGTCTGCTCAACGGCAACTGTTGCGGCCGATTGCAGGCGACCGGCAGCAGCAACAGCAGCAGCAACAACAGCAACAACAGCAACACGGTCAACATGGAAACCCAGACCGACGAGGAGTTGCTGCCACAGCTGCTAGCCATGCCCCCACAAGCAGCAACATTATCATTATCGCCATCAAAATCACCATCACCATCAGCAACATCAACGATTTCATTAGCAATGCAGCAGCAGCAGCAGCAGCAGCAACAACAATGGACTGCCGTGTCGACGACGCCGGCAACAGGAGTGATGATGACGACGACGACGACACAATCACAAGCAACATTAGCACCACAACAACAGCAACAACCACTGCCACAACCACAACAATTGAATACAGAAATCAACAGAAAAACAAAAAGAACAACCAAAACCAAAACAACAACCAGAACAACACACAAAATCAGCAACAACAACTTCAACTTCAACAATAACTATAACAATATGAATAACAACAATAATATAAACAACACTGCCAGAGAATCTGCCTCTGCCTTCGCCTCCGCCTCCGCCTCAGCCACTGCCACGCCCACTGCCAGAATAGCGCGACACCAGCGACCGACAGCCACGCCCCCAACGCCCACGCCCACGCCCACAGCCACCACCTCAGCTTCTGTTACTGTAGTTGTGTTCAAAACAATGTTACCTGATGACTGAATTATTTTAGAATCGTACACGTAGAGCATGTTTTATTATGATTACCACACTATGATTACCACTTACGATTTACAATTTACGATTTACAATTTACGATTTACGATTATGATTACGATTATGATTACGATTACGATATGAGTATGTCTGGATATCATTACCTATTAACTATTCATTAGTTATGGCTTATCGATTATTACTATTATTACTATTTACTATTTACTATTGCTACATGCATAATGTAGAGCCTAATTGATCTATCGTGTATTTTAGTTTGTCTAATTGTTGGATCCCTGTACTATATCCCACACACACATAACACATAAACACATAACATATAAACACCATATTTGATCCTCACCCCCAAACACACACACAAACTCACACACAATCATTACTAAGGAAGGATACGCATATATGTGCAAAGTTGAAACATTTTAACCATGTAATTCTTTTGTGTTCTCGCTGAATGGAGAAGGAGCGATTAACAGAGAGAGAGTGTTAAACGAGTAGGATTATGAGTATGTAGCGAGTACGTAGCGAGTACGTAGCGAGTATGTAACGAGTATGTAATGAGTATGTAATGTTTACGTAGCCACAATGCCACTTACAGCTATAGCAAGCATTTAGGATGCGTGCATATGTCAGTTATCTATTTTTTTTTTTTTAACTAAAGATCTAAAAATCTATATAGAGTAACGAGGAGGAGGAGAGCGAAGCAGGGCGGGAGATTCAACCACATAAAGTATAAATAGTAGAGTCCAAGTAGCTAGCTTAGTGTACATCCGTTTTTCGGGGCAGAGGAGTAGAGCAATTTGTCAATGAGAAAGGGGGTGGTGGGGTGAGCGGAATAGGAAACGGAAACGGAAACTGGACTGCCAGATCGGAATCACACATCAACCATTAAGAGAACTTCGCTCGCAACTATTGCAGAATTATACTGTTAGATACTGTTAATTATCGAACCCAAAAGCCCCAAAACCCCAACCCCCCCCCCACACACACACACACTATACCTAAGTTAAGAACGCATAATCACATACTACACATAAATTACGCATAGTACATACAAGAAACAGAGATAAGAAAATGAAAAAAACAAAGATAAGAAATGAAAGAAACGAAAGGATTTTTTTTTTTTGTGTAAGCCCGATTGCGCAATTGTATATCGTAATCGTGTTGTCGTCGCAACCCCAAACGCCTATCGCCCATGGCGGTATTGATGCCCGGATTGTTATCGATATCGTCGTACTACGTTTTATTTTGTAAATGTATTAATTTTGTTGATTTTTTTGCTGTCTGTATACATTTTTTTTAACAACATTTTTGAATAAATGTAATTCTTGAATATGCTTTATGTTTTTCATTTATTTTTATCCCCCCCTCCGCCATCTTGTGCTCCAAAACTTTTCAGTTTCAATTGGTTTGTATAAAGAACAGAGAGGAGTCCTTTCATTTGTTGAGGTTACGTTAAGGGAGTTTTCCATTTTTTGTTTTCAGACTAAAAACTTTAAGTTGTTAAACACTATCCGTAGTTAAGCAGGATATATATTTTTTGTTGGAAAAAACCTAATATAGAATCGAATATAAACTCGCCCTCAAGCTAAATTTCTACACGAATTTTACGCGCTTCTGTTTTTCTACTTGGAAATTCCTCAGTGGCGCCACCTGCATTTAGAGGCCCGAAAATGTATGCACCGGAAATGGCAAATTGGTTTTTAAATCGGCTTGAAAGGAAATCGAAGAGGACCTCTTGTGAGTAGCGAAACCCGATCACAAGGTCCTCGAATCCCCAGTCCTGTAACTCAAACCCTCCCGATTCGCGCTCTTTCGAACAAGGGGCGAAAACGGAAATAGAGAAAGTAAGCTAAATAACAAAAAAAAAGAAGAACACGAAAACAATGTTTTTCGATCAAAATCGAAGAACAGAAGATGAGAAATAAGCAAGAGTCTGACATCAAATTGCCTTCAAAGTGTTATTTTCGATTTTTTTTCCGTAGAGAGTTTTTTTACGAGAAAACGATGCAAAAACCAATACGAAATACCAAATAGCAAGCAAATATTTAAAGTACATATATATATGTGGATTTATATAAGCGATGACATATAATAATCATATGAATATGAATATGAATGTGGAGAAAAAAAAAAGAGAAACACAACAGACGGCAACAGACGGACGGCTAAAAGGATTAACATTTTTTGTAGAGTAAAAGCGGAAGAAACAGCATCTGGAGGGAAAGAGTCAAAATAAAATATTTTTGCACAGCGTGTTATCGAATAAGTGTTAGACTTTAAACGTAACTGTAATCGAGATTCAAATCAATCAAAGCAACCCTTCCTTAACCTCCTTCCTATCCTTCCTATCCATCCTTATAGATATCCGGTAGCCCCCAAAACCCAAACCCGCCCATTTGATTATTAAGGCTAGGGTCAGATGGAGGATGGCTCCCGCTCCAGCAGGAAAAGCAGAAGAAGTGTCTTTGTAAATACATGAGAATAGAGAGTGGGACTAACCCGACCCAACCATCTGGCGGCGTCTCGAGATATAACATTAGTTAGCTAATTTTAACGACTTACACACTCCCGGATTAATCACCTAACCAGCTACGCCTTGCCGTAGATAAAACTGTTGTAGCCCCAAAACCCAAGCAAAGCAAGTACTTAAATGCTCAACTCCAACACTTCAACCACTGGAACCACTTGACCCACTCACCCACAACCACAACCAACTCACTCCGCTTGCCTAGATCCATTTGCATCCCGGGCAGACCCATGTCCACTGTCCACTGTCCACCATGTCCCCATAGTGTATAGCGTGGATGCAAATGCAATATGAACTTCTTATGGTGCTTAATCTGGATCTTGATCTTGAGGACAACCCAAGCCTACAACTCAAATTATGGGACTGATGCAATGAAACAAAAAGTAAACAAAAATTATGAATAACAAACGGGAAGGGAGGAAATCTAATTAAACCCATATATGTATACTAGGTGTATATGTGTATCGAGATTTAACGATTCAATAATTAAAACGAAGTAGATCCTTCCATATGATAAAAAGCAAAAAGCAAAAAAATAAGACGAAGAGTAAAGATCTCGCTTCTGAGGTTATTGTTATACTCTTTGAATTTGTGTATACCCCAAATTAGAAAATTGTGAAACCAAATCCAAAGAAAACCGAGGAAACATAACGAATCGCCGTGGAAAATTATAGAAATAATGTTTTTTTTTGTGCATTTCTAATTCTACATAGCGGTCGCCAGCGACTTTTACCTTTTATATAATTGTATACAATATGGTTTTTGTTTCGTTTTGGATTTGATATGAATGTTACACGATGGATTGATATTGATTGATTGATTAGTGAACGTTTGATGTAGTGGTAACCAAAAAGTATAATTTAACTGGTACATTGATGTAATGCATAAGAGATGGAAAAACAAACGGCAGCAGAACCGAAAAATGATAATTTAATGAAAATGAAATGTTAGCAAATATATAAAACAGATAACTAAGACGAACTAAGCCCGTAATTGAGAATTTTTAAAGCACGATTCGAGATCACATATAAATTTAATAAATTACACATGTATTAATAATGAAATGATGTATTTACGAATAAAATTAATATTATCACATGAATCATATACATCTATATATAAATAGTCGGCCAGTCTATTTGAAAAGCTCGGACGGAAACTGTGACTCCATCACGATTTTGAAGGGCTTCTTGGCCACCATCTCGTCCTTGTCGCCAATGAAATCGCTGTAAGAACCAAGAGTAAGAAGGGGTCCGCTTTTTCCGAGCCAAGTACTTACTCCTCGTTGGCCAGGGTCACGTTGATGCGATCGGTGGAGACGCGGGTGGGTCGTATGGCCCCGAAGAAGTCGGTGATGGGCACCTTGTGCGGATCTCGGCGGTACAGATCCTTGCGCACTCCCACCGTCGAAATGCACACCCGCTTGGGGCAAACTTGCAGCTGTGTGGGCGGTGTTTAGAATTATTAATTTGTTTGCAAATTTTAAAAGGGAACACTTACGAATTCCCCTATGGTCCGTTTGCTGAACGGCTGCACCTTCTCCAGGAACTCCAAGGCGTAGTATGTGTAGCGATCGATCATGTAGACGCCAATCGAGGGATCCACATGGTGCTGTGGATAGGATATGAATGATGAAATTTCAATTTTACTACATTTTTTCCAGGATTCGATTGAGAACTTAACTACTTTAGACCAAAATTAGGGTTTTTTTTGGTTTTTCAGTCGTAATTTGAACAAATCAAGTCCGACAGCTAAGCGACCGGCTGTTTTGAGCAGCTAACAACCTAAACTAACGATCCCCATCACTTTTGGGAAAATTACATTTTTCACCAATTTTCGCATGTTTGATAAGGGGTACCATCATAATTTTTTTGCAAAAATAATGGCAAAAAAAAAAAAAATTTCCAGACTTGAACGCAAATATATTCAGAATTAAGCTACGAGTTCAACAAGGTATGACATTCCATATTTAGGCAATTATTTCCCTTGTTTCGGGAAAAGAAACTGATATTTTAGGGACTTGAAATTTTAGACCAAAATAAAGGTTTTTTTTTTGGTTTTTCAGTCTTAATTTGAACAAATCAAGTCCGACAGCTAAGCGACCTACTGTTTTGAACAGCTAACAACCTAAACATTTTGTGAAAAGTTAAGATTCTTCAAGTTTTTTTGATGTACCAAGCAAGGACTATTTACAGACTTTAGAATGGCTTACCGATAGGGAATCCTCGCCCACCAGGCTACTGGCCACCGCCAGGACATTCGGCGAGGTGAATTTCTCGTACAGCGAGGCCGCTTGGCAAGTGTCCACCATGAAGAAGAGCTCATTGTAGCTGGAAGAGCAGGTTAGATCCATTATGACTAAAACAGAGATTATGAGGATCAACTGACGCACCGCTTCTTCTCCCACATCTGCTGGATGCCGTCGGCCAGCTCCTGGCTGGTGATCTCCTCCGAGTCCTGGAACTTCAAGAACCCATCGCCGCCGTGTCCGGTGAGGTAGATGAGCACATTGCTGCCCGCGTCCGACAGCAGCTTCTTGGACCGCGCCGTGCCGTTCTGGGTGCGGCCGGTCAGCAGGCGCACGAAGTTCTCCACGGTCACCTCGTAGCCCCGGTAGTCCACCTCCACGTCGTCGCCATAGACATTGATGTGCTGGTTGGCATTGTTGTAGACCTGGCCGGGACGCGGGTTTCGCGCATTGCAGGCCATGTCGTCGGCTATCATCAGGATGATCTGCGAGTCGGGGATGCCCAGGCGCTTCACCGAGCGGTAGATGGACAGCACATTGGCCACATGCCGGTAGTTGAACCAGAATCGCGAGGCGTCCACCAGCACCGCCCAGTTGTTCGTGTGCGTCGACCGCTGGGCGGCGTCCACGAAGCCCTCCGGCAGCACCGAGGTGTCCTCCGCCTGCGCACGACAGCTGGCGAGGATTAGGGCCACGGTGACAGCGAATTTAACCAACATCTTGCGGCCGAATATTAATCACCAATATCGAAAATATAACGCCTCCTGATATCGACTGCTCCGCCCGATAGCACAAAAACAGCTGTGCAGTGTGACCGCGCTCAAAAATATACTACACATACCACTTTCAAATATACCATGTAAATGGAAGCCTTTGTTTTTATAATTATAATTTATTAATAGTGCAAAAAACAAGGAATTAAATATTCAATATTAAATAGTGATATTTTAGTTATTTACAGTCAACAAATAAGCCAACTTACTGAAGCCTTTTGCCCTTTCCTAATACATAAGCTGGTTAATTCTTAAAGATCAATTAATTTCTTTTATTTATTTATTGTAAAGCAAAAAAGAAGTAAGAAATAAATAAAATTAATGTATTTTGTAATGTTTATAATTACATAAATTAAATTGTTTTGCACAAAAGTTCTTTTAAGCATACATAAATAGAATTTTGAATTTCAGAAGACTAGCACTATGCTTATGAAATGGAGTGTACTAAATAATTAAAGAAATATACCAAATATACCGAAAGTATACCAAACGGTCATACACAATGCGAAGCATGCCCAGACGGGGTGGATAGAATGAGGGGGAGAGGGAGAGAGAGGGGGGCATGCCAATGCCAATGGGCCAATTTTCCACCTCGATTTTCTCCCCCTAAACCCCACGAAACGCCATATTTCAAACATAAAACAGTTAGTACCCGGCGAGTACGATCGAATGCAGCCGAAAAATCGGGGGTTTAAGGGGCGCCTGTGGGTGAAAAAAGCGTCCGAAAATGGCTACAAAAGCAATATGGCGGCCGTTCGTAACGAAACGAATGACGCTGCAATGACGAAGAGCGAGGCACAGGCGGACGGCGCAAATGTGCCATGTGTGTGTGTGCGCTGGTGTGCGTGTGCGGGGCCGCAAAAGCCTTGTTTGCGTGTGGAATTTAACTGTTTTCTCGCCGTCTGCGAATTGGGGGGCACACACACAGACGCGCACACACAGCCGCACACCTGGGAAAATGGGGAAAATCGTGGCAAGACGACCACAAATGCGGGGCTTCTGAAAACTCTGCCAATTCGCCGCGATCTTCTCTCTCTCTCTCGCTCTCCGCTGCCGCCGCTCTCTGATTCACGTGGGTTTTCATATTCACATGTGTATGTGTTGCGTGCTTCATTTTACCGTACTTGCACTTGTAGTTGTAGTTGTAGTCGTTCTTTTTGTGAAGCTTTGGGGCTGCTGCCGGAAGTTTTCTTTTTATCCACATATCGCCGATTGCGCTTTGCGCACTTCGTCTATCGCTGCTTCTGCTTTGCTGCGTGGCGTTTTCGTTTTGTCGGCCATTACGTTTTCCAATTGCCTTTGGCGCACCAACACACACATTCGGAACGAAAACACACAAAGCGTGTGTGTGTTCGCATGTAAATGTGGGGTCGCACAGAAAAAAACGTTTTCTAGGTGAAATTAATCGAGTGGGCGTACTGCGAAAGCGTTTTCCTGGCCCCAAACTGGTTTGGGAGTGGGAAAATGCCTTCGATTGCGGCCAGGATCAAAGGGGAAGGCCGAGAAAGGGGCAATTAACTAGGATAATCGATCGAAGTGGCCTTCGATAGCGAAACCAATTGCGATGATGTCAATGGCGACGGAAATGGAATCCTGGCCACTCACTTGACCCAGTTCGCGGAAAATCGCCTTTCCAGGCCCTCAAATGGAAGGCGAGCGCAGAAGCGATGCGAAAAGCTATTGATTTTCCCTCATTTTCATTTTCATTTTCATAGCAATTAAGGCTTTTTTGCCTGTAACCCAGTTACACGTAATCGCATTGGTCCTTGGGCGGGTGGGAAAACAGCGGGAAAACTCTCGGCTGTTGGGGGGTGCGGGCATTGGGCTAAGGACGCCGCCTGACACTTGCAGGATTCAGCAGGATTTCATCCCCCTTCCTTGGGGGGAGGTGGGAAAACATGCAACAACCTACGCCACAGCATCGCAGGTTGAGGGAAAACTGGGAAAATCCGCAGGACAACCGAAAAGGAGTTGTGTTGTTGCTCCTGCTCTCGTTGCTTCTGCCCCTTCCCTCATCCCAATTACCACCCCCGATGCCGAGTCCTTTTTCGCTTTTTGCCGACGCAACAAAAGACGCATCAACAGCAGCAGCAGCAACAACAACAACAAGCGACGTCGCGGCGAAAAGAGCGAACAAACATTTGCCAAAAACAACACGTACACCGGGCGAAAAACGCACGTCGACCTGTGAGTTACCCTACAAAAGCGAACAGATGTTCCAAGTGGAAGAACAACGGGATCTAATTTATTCGAAACGTATACTTGTTGTGTTATTTTAGTTGATATAAAGTTCCTTTTTTAAATTATAATTCTAAGCTGGTTAAAAAAATTGTGGATTAGTTATAAGACAGTGTCAAAATAATCTAAGATTGCCGTTATCGAATATGAAAACGAAATTACTTGATATTTTGTAATATTTTGGTAGCTTAGTGGACATATTTTTGAACAAATAGTATTGTTTAAAAAACTATATTAATTTGGCGAAATTCTACAGAAATATATATGAAGCAAAGTGCACAATTCATAAATTCTTTGTTCAAATATTATGAAATTTAAAGTGGAAAATTATATTGTGGTTGTAGTATATTAAAGGTAACATTCCCCACCTGAACATTCGAAATATCATTCAATAAAAATCGAAATGTACCCTATTTCCATTTAAAGTAAAAATTTTATTATGGTTGTAGTATATTAAAGGTAATATTCCACACCTGAATATTTGAAATATCATTCAATAAAAATCGAAATTATACCAACAATATATGACCTCGCTTAGAGAGGACACCTAATCCTGGCAGCAGGACTGCCACCCCTCCCGGGCGCCCACAAGCAGGGTTGCACCAAAGGCAGAGACATACCGGGTGCGATAGTGCAGTATATCGGGCGGCGAAGAGTCGCGGCGAGCGGCGGCGAATTCACACTTTTCGCCGTCGGGCCGAGCGTCGCTCTTTTGCTCTCCATTTTGGCTCGTTATTTCGCTTCGCACCGTGTTTGCGTTCACAACTCTTGTTCGGGTTCTGCATTTTATTTTATTATTATTTTTTATTTTTGTTTGTTGCTATTCGGTGAGTACCTGCGGAAAGGAAAGGCAAGGATGGAAAGGGTTTTCCTCGCCCGCCCGCGTCTGTGTGCGTGTGCGTGTGTGTGCCAGGTGCTTGGTGAAAAGCTGTACTCGTTGTACTGCCAAATGGAAAAGACACAGGCATTCGTTTATTAATGCTCGCGTTCGTATTTTTTGCGAAAACCTAGTGAAAAAGAAATTTTCTGCGCTCGCTGTCTGCATGTGTGTGTGTGTGTGTGCGCGCTGGTCGTGTCTGTGAGCGCTCGCTTTGGGTGTGCTTGTACGTCACTGCCACCCATTTTTTGTGTGTGTGCCCCACTGTTCTGGTTCTTCGTCTCGCCTCGCTTTTCCCCCCGCCCCCTGCCGCTGCCCCATGGCCCCCGTTCGGTTTTTGTTGCAACCTAACGCTGCCGAAGACGGTAGTTTCCACCGGATTTTCCTTTTTGCCGAACGAACGAACGAACAGGCGAGCGAGCGGCCGAGAACGGGCGATGTTGGCAACTCTGCCAATTCTTTGGCAACTTTTCCGCTTTGTGAAAATTGTGCGGCCCGTTTCCGTTCGCTTCTGCTTGCTCCGTCTGTCCGCTGTCCGTGTTTACAATCGCGGCGTTTTTGCACACTGTGCCGCCCGTGTGTGTGTGTGTGTTCTACTTGGTGGTGTATATACACACATCGATACAAATACAAATCTTCATTTTGTTATTCGCCATTCTCTTTCACTTCCTTTATTCGTCTGTTTTGTTGCCGTCGCCGTGACAGTTGCGCTTGGTGTGCGTGTGTCCGTGTGAGTTTTCCGCTTTTCTTTGCCGGTGCAAACTGCAATTTGAAATCTCGCAGCGCTCGCGCTCTGGTCACACTAAAATGGCGCCTGTCAAAAATCAAAAGCAAATTCAAAAGCAAAAGCCATCGAAATCAGACGAAGCAGAATAAGAAGAGGAGACAGGATACTTTACTTCGAAATTTGAGGATTATTCAACATCAATTCTTCAGCTCCTCCTCGCCGCTCTCCTCTGCTTCTTCTGCTTGTTTTCGAGCTCCTCTCTCTCTCTCCCGCTCTTCTCGTTTCGCTTTCCTCGCATTCTCGCAGCTCCCAGCTGCTGCCAAAACTTGTTTTTCAGAATCGATCAAAGGGGAGAGGGGGAAGAGGGGGAAAGGGGAGCGGGAATGGGCTTTCTGGCAACCGCAAAAGCATGTTTAATGTTCTAGTCGCATTTTACTGGAGTCGGATTGTCCTGGGAATTGGATTGGATTAGCCGAAAGAAGCTAAGAGAGCGGTTTGCCAGGTGAAAGCCAGGGCCATAAAACTGCGCTTGGAATTTCGCTTCGGTTCGGATTATAATAATTATGATCTATCAGTCCTGTGAAAATCTCAAAAATCTCCTTGGTTTTATACCTGTGCTACCTGTTAATAGATGATAAACAAAGCAAAACTTAAAGTATACCAATATTTTATAGTTGCTAATTGGTTAACGATAAATTAAATTCCAATCATAGAGGTATTTTTCACAATTTTCATTAGTTTTTATCAGAGCGAACATAATCTTTTGAGAATGCTTATCAATTAGTGCATTTCCAAGCACTTATCAGCGTTTTCCAAATGGTTGGGAAATTTTCCGAATTTAAATTTAGAAGATAACAAATTTATTTAAATTTAAATTCCTAGCACTACAAGTTAAACTTATATATTAATGTGCTCGTCACGTGTATTACAATACTTTTTTTTTTTTATCAGAATAATTTGGAAAATAATTAAAAAAAAAAGAGTTATTTTAAAGACAGTTACAAAGTAAAGACACAAAATAAATAAAAAGACTATATATAACATACAAAAAATCAAATAAAGAAAATTAACAAAATGGGATACAAATTTTGATTGAAACATGTAGTTTTTACAAATTTAAACTGATGTTGGGGTACTTAAACTAATTTAAACTAATTTCTCTCAATAAAACTAAACTAATGTAAACTAATTTCTCTCATTAAATTTGTTTAAATTAGTTTACGTACACCAATATCAGTTTGGGTATAATTATATTATTTTATTATTTTCGGGAAAGGGTTTACTTATTATATTTTTCCCACACGGCGGATTAGTAATGTTCATTTTTCCGCCTTTCAGGTAATCCTTCACATCACAGTCAACCAATGGGACCAAATCACTGCGACTCGAACTGGACACAATCAGCATCGGATCGCAGGGAGCAGCAGCAGCAGCAGGAGCATCAGAAGGCGACGGGGGAGCGGCCAACATAGGAGCAGCAACGTCGGCAGCAGCTGCCCAGGGCCCCTCGAGGATGTCTAGCCGGAAGCCGCCAGGAGGCTCTGGAGGAGCTGATGAGGCCACAATAATAACAGCCTCCTCCCTGGACGACAATGCCAATGCCAGCGTGGAGATTCCGGCCAGCAGCGAGGAGCCATCAGCGGGCGAAGGCGAAGGAGCAGGAGCAGGAGAGCTGGCCATCAGTATCAAGGCGAGCACTCCAACGCCGCCAGTGGAGGCGGCTGAGGAGTCGCCAGCAACAGAGGGGGAAGCTGAAAAGGAGCTGGAAGCCAAGGATATCCAAGCCAAGACGCCCACGTCCAGCACCAGTGATGCAGTGGCGGCCAAGAGCCTGAGGGTCACCCGGCTCTCGTCGCCGCTGCTCCTGCCCAGCTCGCCCACGACCAGCAGGCGTGAGGCCGGCGACGCAGCACTGGACATAGGCGAGGAGCAAACATCATCGTCGGCCGGCCAAAGGAAGAGCTCTGTGGAGCGATCCATGGCGCCGGTCATACGCGGACGCAAGTCCATCAAGGATCTAAAAGAAGCCAAAGAAGTCAAGTCCGAGGAGGCGCCGCCAGCAGAAGCAGCAGAGGAGCTAGTCGGCGAGGGCAACGAGTCCCTGGAATCCCCGCCAGCCACGGACAAAAAAGACCACAAAGACACAAAAGACAAGGAGGAGGATAAGCAAAAGGATGTCCAAGATGCAGGAATAAAATCTGCAGAGAAGGAGAAATCTGTGGAGAAGGAAAAGGAGGCAGATAAAGATAAGGAGAAGGACAAAGAGAAGCCCAAGGAGGCAGTAACTCCAGTAACTCCAGTGACTCCCACTTGCAACCGCGTCACCCGCAAATCGCATGCCCAGGAGCAGCTGGTGGTCAACACGCGGGTCACGCGCAACCGTCGCCAATCCGCCACGGCGGCCGCCTCCTTGGCAGCCACATCCTTGGCGGCCACAGTCGCCGAGCAACTGCCTCCCGCCCGCGGTCGCCGGAAGAAGCCAGTGGCTCCGCCAGTGGAGCCTGCGGTGAAACGAAAGCGATCCCAGGACGCAGACGCCGATCCGGAGGCCACCAGCAGCGCCAAGTTCAGCAAGGTGGAGCAGCTGGTGAAGCTGGAGGAGGTGGAGGCGCCAGCCGACGAGGATCCAGTGACCATCAAGCAGGAGCCCCTGGATGCGAGCGAGGTGGGCCTATCCCTATCGCCATCAGTCACGCCCGCTCCGATTTCGGGCAGCCGACGGGGACGCGGGCGGCCGCAGAACAGGAACTCCTCCTCGCCGGCGGCCACCACGCGAGCCACGCGGCTCAGCAAGGCGGGATCGCCGGGCATCCTGGCCCAGGCTCCCGAACCGGCGCCTCCAAAGCGACGACGAGTGGGCTCCAGCACGCGGAAAACCGCCTCGGCCAGCTCGCTGGGCGGCGCCGCCGGGGACGAGGACTCCAAGGACAGCATGGCCTCGTCCATGGACGACCTGCTGATGGCCGCCGCGGACATTAAGCAGGAGAAGCTGACGCCGGACTTTGAAGACAGCCAGCTGCTGGTGGCAGAGGGCCTGCCCTCCACTTCTGGTGCCTCTAATGCCTCCGCCAATGGTCATTCCTGCATCGAACCGCTCACCGTGGACACGGAGAGCGTGGAGAAGCCCGCTGAGCCCGAGGCGAAGCCCAAGGAGTCGCCGGCGGCGGCCGCAGTTGATGAATCCGCATCCGCAGCGGCGGAGAAGGCGCCTTCCCTCAGTCCCGAGATGATCAGCGAGGGCGTGAGTGCGGTGAGTGTGCGCAAGTTCTACAAGAAGCCCGAGTTCCTCGAGAACAACCTGGGCATCGAGAAGGATCCGGAGCTGGGCGAGATTGTCCAGACGGTCAGCAGCAACGATGTGGAATCGGTAACTCCGCAAACCGAAGAGCACAATGAAAAGGAGGTGGATCAGAAGGAAGAAAAGGAGGAGGAGCAGCCAGAAAAGCCAGAAATTGTAACCGAAGATGTCTCCGAAGTTCTGGCCGAAGTTCCACCCGAAATTCCACCCGAAATTCCCCTCGAAATTCCAGTGGAAATCACAAGAGAAGCCGCCGAGGAAGAGACCTGTTCGAATTCCTCCCTGAAGGCAGGGGAACTCCGGCTGGAGGAGAGCACGGAGGAGCCCGAGCTGCTGCTGGACGATGGCCTCGTGGTCAATGGCGATGAGATCGCCTTGGAGCAGCAGCAGCAGCAGCAGCAGCCGCCGGCGGAGGAGGAGGTGCGCATCTTCCACTCGGAGGAGTACGATGACTTCGAGCACGAGATTATGGAGGAGCTGGCCAAGGAGGGTGTGCTGGACGCCAGTGGCAATGCGCTGAGCCAGCAGCAGGCCGAATCCAAGGAGGCTCCCTCGCCCGCCGACGAAATGGTGGCCATGGAGGTGGAGGAATCCTACGTGGACATCAAGCAGCCGACGGATCAACTGGAGGAGGAGCCCGAGGACAACAAGGAGAACCTGTCGGCGGTCAGCACGGCGGCCGAGGCTCTGGACATCCAAATAGAACTCAAGGAGAACGTCGACGACGAGGAGGAGAAGCCGCTGGCCGAGCTGATGGAGGTGTCCAAGGAGGCGGATGGCGTGGACGAGAAGCCGCCCAATGGCAAGCAGGAGGAGGAGGAGGAGGAGCCGGAAAACCAGCTGCAGAGTCTGCGGCAGGAGCAGGAGATTCACCTGCAGAACCTGGGCCTGCTCACCCACCAGGCGGCCGAGCAGAGGCGCAAGATTCTGCTGGAGGCGCAGGCTAGACAGGCGCAAATGCAACTGCAGCTGCAGCAGCACAATCAGCACAAGCGACAGGGAGCGAGGGGAGGAGGAGGCAGCGGAGGAGGCAGTGCCACTCATGTCGAGTCCAGCGGCACTCTGAAGACGGTCATCAAGCTGAACAGGAGCAGCAACGGCGGCGTGGGCACAGTGATCCACGGCGGCAGTGGCTCCTCCTCCGCCTCCGCCGCCTCCTCGACGTCCTCCTCCTCGGTGGGCAGTGCCACGCGCAAGTCGAGCGGCGTCCTAAGCTCGGCAGCGGTAGCGGGAGCGGGAGTGCGCCGCCAGTCGCTCAAGATGACATTCCAGAAGGGTCGGGCTCGTGGTCACGGAGCCGCAGACCGATCCGCCGATCAGTATGGCGCCCACGCCGAGGACTCGTACTACACGATTCAGAACGAGGTGGGTTTTTGAGCTACGCCTTCTTTAAATAGATTACTAACTTAATTTTCCCTCCTCTTTACAGAACGAAGGTGCGAGAAAGCTTTATGTGAGCTCGGGTAATCCCGGCCGCAAGACCAATAACCGTTTCAGCTCGACTAACAACCAACAATCCTCGGTAGCAAGCAACCTGCACGGTAGCAACTCGGCGCTCCAGTACTGTGCGTATAGATTAGAGCCCTGCGTGAATCATTCAGTTCTTGTTTTATCATTTCATGGCATGAAATTTCTGGGTTGTTCAATTCAATTCTATGTTAAATTAGTTGAAGGTTTTTCTAATTCATTTTTTAAATTTGCCTGATTTTCTTTGTGCTTTCTTTTGAGAACAAAAACTGCATAGTAAATAAAATTCAGGCAGATTTAATCACAATTATTTCGGAATTCAATTCAATAGAATTGAATGAATGAATGATTTGTATACATTTTTTTAATTTGCCTGATTTTCTTAGTGCTTTCTTTTGAAATCAACAAGTGGAAAATGTTAAATGTTAAATGATTAGTAACTAAAATTCAGGCAGATTTAATCACAATTATTTTGAAAATCATGCCATTTATTCATTCAATTCTATTAAACTCAAAATTCGAATTAATTCATTCATATAAAACAAAGAATTCAAAATAATTCATTGAATCCATTCATGCAGGGCTTTAGTTTTCACTCCATAGCATCAAACCGAACGAATGGAGCCCAGATTAATTCTTTATTTAGTTAATTTATGCAACACAGCAGCTTTGAGCTGCTTTAGAAGATTCTTCCTTATCGGAAAAGTGGTTCGGTTTGATGGCACATTCATCTTCTCCATGTTCCTGCACTCTGTACATAAGGCATTCCCATTAACCACACCCATCCCTCATTCCCCTGTACACAAAAAGCCATCAACTCACCCAAGGATCTTCCGCAGATTCCTCGCATTCGGAGAGCCAGGGACAAACGGAGCACGGCTTCTACCAGACGGTCAAGAAGGACGAGAAGGAGAAGATCCTCATTCCGGAGAAGGCCTCCTCGTTCAAGTTCCACCCGGGGCGGCTGTGCGAGGACCAGTGCTACTACTGCAGCGGCAAGTTCGGGCTCTACGACACGCCCTGCCATGTGGGCCAGATCAAGTCTGTGGAGCGCCAGCAGAAGATCCTAGCCAGTGAGTACAATGCATAATATTTATACCCTTGCAGAGGGTATAATGATTTCAGTCAGAAGTTTGCAACGCAGTGAAGGAGACGTCTCCGAGCCCATACAGTATATATATTCTTGATCAGCATTACTAGACGAGTCGTTTGTTTGTCCGTTTGTCTGTCCGTATGTCTGTCCGTCCGTTTCTACGCAAACTAGTCTCTCAGTTTCTAAGCTATCGGAAAGATCGGAAAAGAAAACGTTAAAAAAATTCTAGCTTCGGTTTTTTTTTAATATTACCTTCTACTCTTGGGGATATTATTTTTTTAATATTTCTGAATTTCGAATAAAATATTTAAAAAATCGGACGACTATTTCATATAGCTGCCATAGGAACGATCGGAAATTAAATGGGAAAGTAATAGAAAATGAATTTTAGCTTCTTTGGTTTTTATTGTATTCTCTTCTACTCTAGGATATGCTCTTTTTAGATATTTCCGAATTTCAATTTTACTTTTATCAAAATTGGAAGACTATATCATATAGCTGCCATAGGAAAGATCGAAAAATTAATGGGAAATTAATTGGAAACAAATTATAGTTCCGTTGGTTTTTATTGTACTCTCTTCTACTCTAGGATATGATTTTTGTTTAATATTTCCGAATTTGGAATTAAATTTAACAAAAATTGGACGACTATATTATTATAGCTGCCATAGGGAACGTGATAAAATTTACGTTACGTTGTCTATATATATATATGTTCGCTGGAACTTTACTGATACCGCCACCATCATCTCTCTCTGCCTCCTCTGATGTTCGCTAGTTTCCTTATCATTCGCAGACGAGGAGAAGCTGACGGTGGACAACTGCCTGTGCGACGCCTGCTTCCGCCACGTGGATCGCCGGGCGAATGCGCCCTCCTACAAGAAGCGCCTCTCCGCGCCGGGTCATTTGGAGACGGGCGTGGGCAGCTCGGCGGCGGCGGCTGCTTTAGAGAAGCACTTTGACTCCGTAATTCCGGAGGCAAGCGGAGAGACAGCGGCGGTTTCAGCGGGAGAGGCATCCGCTTCCGGATCCGCTGGCCCGCATCATCGCTCCTGTGCGGTCAAGGAATGCTTGGAGGCGGCCGGACACTCGCTGCGGCGCAAGTGCATCCGCAAGAGCGTGAAGAAGTTCCAGCTCAGCCTGGAGATTCCCGCCGGCTCCTCGATCGTGTGGCTCTGCGAGGCGCACTACAACACGGTCATCCAGTTCTCCGGCTGCGTTCTCTGCAAGCGGCGGCTGGGCAAGAACCACATGTACAACATAACCACGGTGAGTTGATTGGGAGTTCACATTTCATCCGAAGAGAGCGTGTGCTAATTGATATCCTTTTTAGCAGGACACCGATCGGCTGGAGAAGGCGCTCGCCGAGATGGGCATCCCGGTGCAGCTGGGCATGGGCACTGCCGTCTGCAAGCTGTGCCGCTACTTTGCCAATCTGCTGATGAAGCCGCCGGACAGCACCAAGTCCCAGAAGGCGGAGTTTGTCAAGAACTACAGGAAGAGGTGAGTGTTTAATTAGATTTTGCCATTAAAATGTTACTCATTTATTATTTTTGTAATTAACAGGCTTCTCAAGGTGCACAATCTGCAGGACGGCAGCCACGAGATGTCCGAGGCGGACGAGGAGGAGGCCCCCAAGGCGACCGCCGAGGGGCAGGAGGAAGAGGATGCCGAGATGCCCCTGGTCGTGGACTATGACGGGCCAACCGACTCCAATTCGAGCAGTTCTTCTTCCACTAAGCAGATGTCCAAGCTGCAGGCCATCCTGCAGCAGAATCTGGGAGCAGAGGGAGCGACAGCAGGATCAGGAGCAGCTCCTCCAACCGGAGCCAGCGGATCAAGCGCAACTGGAGCTGATATCTCGAACGTGCTGCGCGGCAATCCAAACATCTCGATGCGCGAACTCTTCCACGGCGAGGAGGAGCTGGGCGTGCACTTCAAGGTGCCGTTCGGATGCAGCAGCAGCCAGCGGACGCCGGAGGGCTGGACGCGGGTGCAGACCTTCCTGCAGTACGACGAGCCGACGCGACGCCTCTGGGAGGAGCTGCAGAAGCCGTACGGCAACCAGAGCTCCTTCCTGCGCCACCTGATCCTGCTGGAGAAGTACTACCGCAACGGGGATCTCGTCCTGGCGCCGCACGCCTCCTCGAATGCCACCGTTTACACGGAGACTGTTAGCCAGCGACTGAATTCTTTCGATCACGGCCACTGCGGCGGATTGGGCAATCCTTCGGCGGCCCCTTCTTCCTCCTCCAGCAGCAAGCGCAGCGGAATTCCGCAGCCCGCGGGAGCCAGTGTGCTGGCCACCGCCCTCACAACGCCCTCCTCATCCTCATCCTCCGGATGCCTTTCAGCCGAACAGCAGGCATCGGTGGTGGATCCCGTCATTCCGCTGGTGGAGCTAAACGATGACGATGATGGCGAGGAGGGAGCGACAGCAGGAAAAGCGGTCGATGGAGAGGAGTCTTCGGTGGACAAGCTGACCAAGCAGCTCAGCTCGAATGCGGTGACGATTATTGCCCGCCCGAAGGATAAATCGCAGCTCTCCTCGAACAGCGGATCCTCGACATCCCTTTCTAGTTCCTCCTCGGCCATTTCTTCGCCCGAGGAAGTGGCCGCCGCCGCTGCACCCGCACCACAGTCCAAGGAGGCACCGCCACTGGTGCCCGCTGCCGGCGGCAACAGTCGCAGCATCCTGAAGACCAATCTCCTGGGCATCGGCAAGGCCGTGGAAATTGTGCCGCTGACCCCCGCCGCCGCCGCCTCAGCCCCCTCGGCCTCCTCAGCCCCAGTCAATGTGGAGTCCATGCTCACATCCATCATCTCGAAGACCAGCAAGTCGACGGCCTGCCATATACCCGAGATTCTCGAGGCGGCCAACTTGGCCAGCGACTTTGCCAAGCTGCAGGGCCTCCAGGCGGCCATCAGGCTGCAGTCCAAGCTGAAGCCTCCCATGGGAGCGGGAACTAGTGCCCCACAGAAGCCTCCGAATCTGGCCCAATTGCAAAGCTCGCCGCCGGAGCTAATCAGCCTGCATCGACGGCGGACGAGCGGAGCGGCAGCGGCGCCGCCGGCAAACAGTCTGCTTGGAAATCCTCCCGGCAAGCGACTGCAACTGGCACGAACTGGAGCAGGGCCTTCAGCGGGAACGGGAACGGGAACGAGCGCCGCAGGAGGACGCGCACCGCCGCCCAATGTGGTCATACTGCCGGACACGCTAACGCCCCAGGAGCGGCACGAGAGCAAGAGCTGGAAGCCCACGCTGATACCGCTGGAGGATCAGCACAAGGTGCCGAACAAGTCGCACGCCCTCTACCAGACCGCCGACGGCCGCAGGCTGCCCGCCTTGGTGCAGGTTCAGTCCGGCGGCAAGCCATACCTCATCTCCATCTTCGACTACAACCGCATGTGCATTTTGCGGCGGGAGAAGCTGCTGCGCGACCAGATGCTCAAGGCCAACGCCAAGCAGAAGCCGCAGCAGCAGCAGCAGGCGGCTCAGGGATCGGGATCAGGATCAGGGTCGCATCACTCGGCCGCATCGGCGGCTGCCTTCTCCAACATGGTGAAGCTCGCCCAGCAGCACACGGCTCGCCAGCAGTTACAGCAGCTGCAGCAGAAGCAGCAGCATCAGCAGCAGCAAATGCCCACTTTGCAGCCAGGTGGCGGAGGAGGAGGAGGAGCCGCCGGAGGAGCAGCGGGCGTCAGGCTGGCACGGCTGGCGCCCAAGCCAATGCCGCCGCTGACCAATCCGCAGATTGGCAGCCAGGCGCCCAGCTTCCAGCCGCTGCTGCCCAGTCCGCTGGACAACAGCAACAGCTCCTGGCTGTGGAAGAACTTTCCCGATCCCAATCAGTACCTGCTCAATGGAAACGGAGGAGGCGGAGGAGGAGGAGGGACTTCCGCCGCCAGCAAGTTGCCACATCTCACGGCCAAACCGGCCACGGCGACGAGCAGCAGCAGCGGAGGAGGAGGAGGCAGCAAGTCGGCAGGCAGCCTGTTCGCCCTCAAGCAGCAGCAGCACCAGCAGAAGCTCATCGAGAATGCCATCATGTCGAAGATACCCAAGAGTCTGACCGTGATACCACAGCAGATGGGCAGCAATGCAGGTGGCGAGATGGGCGGCGGCGGCAGTTCCTCCGGCAAGGACTGATGACGGCGGAGGAGGCCGTGGCCAGGAGGAGCAGCGGTGGCCACCCGGCGGAGCAGCAGGCTCAACAAGAGGTGACATGGATATCACAAACTCCACAATTCCATGGCTGCACTAGAATAAGTGATACACTAAAAAAAACAGAACAGAACAGACGGACAGAGAGATGAGAAACCAAGATAATTGTAAGGATTACATAACGTTGTTTGTGTATAAACGAGATACGGTTACGAATACGACTACACTATAAGTAAACCCCACTAGTTAGGCCCGTGAGCCGAAACCACAGATGCATGAAATGATGGAACAGATGGAGATGATTAAGTTCAGATACAGATACCGATGCCGATGCGAATGCGAATAAGGATACGGATATGGATAGTTAGAGATACCGATACACCCTACTCTAAACTATGCTACTCTATTATCGTAGACTTAAACTATATTTTTTTAATTAGATGTACGGGCATATTAACTTGCGATTCGTGTATTATAGATACCAAAATTGCTAGAGCTAAACGGTTTATAGATTTATAAGCGACCCCAAATCACACACACACAAACACTCCTCCTGCTACACCAACACACTCACACACACTCTACTTTAAGAGAGAATGCAGCACAAACAGAAATTGTGGCCAGGAAGATATACCAACCTCAGGCTGCTGCTGATCCCAGGACCGGAAACTGAATCCCGGATCCCGAAGCCCCAGTTTTTTTTTGCATAAGCCCCACAAGTCACCAGCCCAGGAGCATTTTCAGCACACTTCACAATCCAATCCCGCACATAGAATACGATTCGTTTGATGTAGCCTCCTAATTTATAACCATTTTGTATTTCCATTTATACATCAACTCGCTACAGATACAAATAGAGAAACAGAAACCGAAACAGATATATTAACTCTTAAACTGTAAATATTTCGATGGAAAGAACAGATAAATACAAAAACTATAATACAAAAAATACAAACTAAAATGCTAATTTAAAAAGTGGCCTCTGTTCCATTCCAAGGAATTCTAAAACCCAGATCGTTGGTAGTGAGGGGCAATTAATTTGCAAATTTCAAATGACAAATTGAAAAGCTTTCTCCACAAAAATATACCAATAAAAATATACTTAACACCCAGCATACATACGCATACATATATGGATTTATATATACACACACGATATAGATATTTTAGAGCGATGGCGAGAGATACAATTGTAAATTAGTCCGTTAAGCATAGATATATTTATACACATATGAGAATTCAATTGTTGTTGTTGAACATTGAAAATGTATTTATAAAGCGGAAGTTGATTGATACCATACAAACCTACAAGAAGCGCGAAAGGAAAACAGACTTTGGCCAGCCGAAGACTATGTACCCTTGCAGTGACCATGAAAATTTAATCCCGATCCCTAGGAATAGTCAGCAAACAGTGTACAAAACTCCAGGAAAGACGACAATCTTTTGTTTCACATACGATACCTTAATACAAAGAAGTTAAGTCAGCTATACGGTCTTCCGAACTTCACACGATGCACACGATCTCCCAATAGCCGTTCCAAACGACAACCTATCAAGTTTCATGTGATGAACTTTAAAAGCAGTTGCTGTAGTCTTAGGATATAGTTGTCCGATTTCAATCTTACAGATAAACCATCAAGTTCCAGTAGTTATCTTAAAAAACGAATGTAGCAGTCTCAGTCTTATGAATGATATTCGATAATATAATTATAAATGCCTCTGCAAGGGTATATAAAAAGAATGCTTCGTTGGTGCGGATGCGAATCGGAGCTGGATGAGGAGTAGAGCAGTTCCCAGGACTTCTCTCCGATGACCATGATGAACATAGATTGCCTTGATCGAACCTGGCTTTGTGAAGCCGCATGGAAAATCGTGTGCCTGTGGGTGAATCAGCGCGTGCGTGTGTTTGTGCTGTGTTTATGTAGTACTTTGTAGCTGATAGATCATTCGATCCAAACACATCTTACGATTACAACTTATTTATGCAATTATTTTTAAAAGTTTAACAAGAATCAAAATTTCAACGAATCAAGAAATAAATTTCCCCATGTCCAGCTAAAACATCCGATGGTTTTATTTATTCCTTATCCGCACAGTGAAGTCTCGCCATGCGCGGATTCACGTGGGGTGATATGGGTGATGTATCACCACCACTAAAAAAGAAGAGAATTTAGCTATCTGCTATGCAAAAAAATGTTGTATGATATCACCCCCACAACAAAATTCTAGATCCGCCACTGATGAAACCCCTTAAAATAAATTGAAAATTGGCGAAATTTCAAGATCACCGGAAAGTGGAAATGGATTTATTTATTATTTTGTTATCTGTTCAAAACAGTATGTATTTTTGGTGTAGGACCATTTTTGGCCAAGTTACATCAAAAAAACAAACAGAAAAAAAATTCAAATTTTACCAAAAACCCAGATCCCAATTTGTCACAAAAAAATAATTCGTTTTTTGACTGTAACAATGCAAATGTTGATCGAAATATGGATTGTCATACCTTTCTGAACTCGTTGTTTAATTATCAATCGATTGGCATTTAATCCTGGACTTTTTTTTTTTTGCCATTTTTCGAAAAAAATTATGATGTACTCCTTATAAAAAAATTGAAAATTGGCGAAAATTTCATTTTTTCAAAATCACCCGCCACTGGGTCGCACAGTGGGCATTGGAGACCCCAAGTCGACAGAATCGTGGCAATAGCTCTACGAAAACACAATGTCACCAAGAAATCGCTTTATTCATCATTCGTTATCTGAGTTGTGTAAAATGTTCTGAAAATGTGAATATATTCGAGATAAGCGAAAGCTAATGTTCTGAAATTGTCGATGAATAAATAGCTATAGTAATTGTGTGAATATAGAACAGAACTCTTTCTTTCGTGTAGTGGTCTCTCTCTATCTCTCTCTGTCTCTAGCAGTATTGCCGTCTCTGTCTATCTGGTTCTTGAAGGTTCGTAAACGGAAGCGGAAGTAGTCTCAAGTTTCGCCACTTTGTTTGGCTATCTCCCTCCCCCTCAGTATTTATGTTTTTATTTCAAAGAAAGTAATCTCTTTCGGATTTGGCGATTTCATTTGTTTTTGGTTTTTATGTATGGATTTTGTTTTTATTAACATAAATTTCAAAAAATAATGTTTTTAGCGTTTTGTTGATGTTTTTGTTTGTTTGTTTTGTTTTGGACTTGGTGTTTAGAATTAGATTTAAATATTCGATATGCACTTGATGGTTGCCTTGCTGTTTTACAAATGTATTTGATGTACGTGTGTGTTTCATTTCATAATTTCTTGTTTTTCACTTTTGTTTTTTGTTGTATGTTGTATGTGTGGGTCGCATACATCGGCTCGAGACGGAAATTAATAAATATATTCATCCTCACATGATGCTCTGAAGTTCTTCTGCAGCTACCGTTACGAGTGTAGGTATAATAAATCTATGTTTATTAATATTATTATTATTAAAGGTTATCATTATTATATGATCTGGCTCTGCTCGGATCCGGGTGGTGCCTCGATGCCCAGGCCCAGGTGCTCCTACAAGTCGGTCTCGCCGTAGAGAGCTGTGCTGAAGGACATGTAGTCCAGGGCGCCGGGCACTCCGTTGGGTCCCTTGTAGGGCGGCATGCGCTGGATGCAGTACTCGGCCTGGTCTGGGGGCAACTCGCGGCGCAGTTCGTCGGGCAAAATGTATGGCTAAAATAGGAGGGAAGTGATTAGACTCTGCAGGTAATTAATATCCCTTCATAAGTAGCTAAATAACCCACCTTATCGGCTGCCAGGATTCGGAACGAGTCGATCACTTGTTCGGCAGTGTCGGTATCGGTGCTCTCGCGGGTCATGAAGTCGAGGAAGGCGTCGAAGTGCACGTAGCCAGTGTTGTTCGGATCGACGACCGCGAGGATGCGCTGGAAGTCGAGGTCGCCCTGGCGATCCTTGCCGATCGAGTAGCCCAGCGAGACGAGGCACGACTTGAACTCCTCGGGCGACAGGCGGCCGGTGCGGTTCTTGTCGAAGTGATTGAAGCTGCTGCGGAACTCGTTCAGCTGCTCCTGGCTAATGCCCTTGGAGTCGCGGGTGAGGATCTGGTTCTCCACCTCGTTGATGTTGCGGTTGATCGAGGTGAGCAGCTGCTCCCAGCCGACGCGCAGCGTCTCCATCGTGTAGTTGGTGTAACGGTTCTCGAAGATCATCGACTCCTGCACCGCCTGGTGGATCTTCTCCAGCTCCTCGATGTTCGGCTTGTAGGCATAGACGGCCTGCTCGTACTCCTTGAGCCGGTGCAGCTGGTCCTCCAGCGATCCCTGCAGTCCCATGCCGATGGCCGTCACCGCGTCCATCTGCCGCTCGATCCAGGGGCCGACAATGTTGGCCTTCTCGGCGAACTGGCGGCGCAGCATCTCGTTGTTCTGCTGCTTGCGCAGCTCGTTGGCCAGCGTCTGGTCGCGCTGAGGGACCAGCTGGCGGACGTCGCTCCACTTGCGCGTCATATCGTTGGCGGTCAGCGTGGTGTAGGGGTTCTCCAGGCCGCCGGGGATCTGGTGCTGCTTCACAATCGACTCCACCTCGCGGACCAGGTTCACGATCAGGTTGAACTCCTTGTCGGCCTCGCCCAGCGTCGCCTTGAACTGGTCGTGCGCCTGGATCAGGCCCTGGATCTCCTCCATGGTGTGCACGATGAACATGTCGACCAGATCCTCGCGCGTCCCGTCCAGCCAGTTGTTGAACGGCGCCGCCCGCTTCGCGAACTCCAAATGCAAGATGTCGATCTTCTCCAGAATGCGCTCGGCCTCGTCCAAAGCGGTGCGCCTGCGCTGGGTGAGGGCGCCCAGGCGGTCCCACTGGTCGCAGATGCGCTGGCACCTGGCGTTCACCGACACGCAGTCATGGTACTCCAGGGTGCTGTGAAGGTAGGTAATCGGGGATTAGTTGGGGGTCTCTCATGCTCGCTTACAGGAGTGAAAGAAATGTGATGGGATGGGATGGTCGATTGGAGGGTGTTGCCAGTTAGTCTACTTTAAGTCGGAGATTCCATAATAGTAACTAGTAATAACCTGAACTAGAGAATATCTTCTGATATTGTAATATCTTCTACATAGGAATTATTTTATTTTATTTATTTATTTTTTTTTTTTTTTTGGCTTATTGAAACTAGTATAGATTCCATAATAGTAACTAGTAATAACCTGAACTAGAGAAACACCTTGATATTGTAATATCATCTACAGAGGAATTATTTTATTTTATTTTTTTTTATTTATTTATTTTTTTTTTCGTCTAATTAAAACTAGTATAGATTCCATAATAGTAACTAGTAATAACCTGAACTAAAGAAACACCTTGATATTGTAGCATCTTCTACAGAGGAATTTTTATTTTTTATTTTTTTTTTAATTTGGCTAATTAAAACTAGTATTCAATACTACATTTAATGGAAAGAAAATGGCACTGGAAACAGAGGCTAGTGTTTCAGAATTTATATAGAATTTACTCTTACAATGATCATCAATTCTTCGGAAGATGATTTATATATTTCCTCATCTAACATCATCATTAAATGCGTTTTATCATTATTAAATCAGAGATTCCATAAAAGTAACTGGTAATAACCTTAACTAAAGAAACACCTTGATATTGTAATATCTTCTACAGAGGAATTATTATTATTATTTTTTTTTTTATCCATTTAATGGAAAGAAAATGGCACTGGAAACTGAAGTCCTTCTGCCGGACAGAAGCTAGTTCTTCAGAATTTATATAGAATTTACTCTTACAATGATCATCAATTCTTCGGAAGATGATGCCCATTTATATATTCCCTCATCTAACATTTATATCTACTTGTCTCTGGCAAACACCGGTGTCTAGATGACTAGATGACTGATCGAGGAGGTGGAGTTCTACCTAACCTCACGCTGGATCACGCAGATCGGGGATTATATAGATCGTATCGACCGTATCGGTGGCAGCAGGCGGGATAATCGGATAAATCGAGATTAGCTAATGGGCTCGCTCGGGGCGGACACTTACTTCAGCTCCTGGGCGATGGCGGCGATCTGCTCGACGCGATCCTGGTGGGCGGCCAGGTCAGACTCAAAGGCTTCGTGCTTCTTCTTGAGGGCCTTCAGCTCGTTGAGCTTGCACTGGCGGAAGTCCTGCGACTGCAGCATCTCCTCCTTGCCGCGCGTCCAGTCCTCGTGGGCATCGGCCTGTGCATCATGATATTTAATATATATATATAGATGTAGCCATAGCTTGTGCTCACCTTGTGCTTGAACTTCTGGGCCAGATGCTCGAGGCGCTCCAGGCGCATGGTCTCGGCGAGCAGCCACTCCTCGAAGGCCTTCTCGGCCAGCTCGAGGCCCTTCCACGAGTTGGAGATGTCCGAGACGGTCTTGCCCTCGGTGGGCAGGTAGGCGGGCCGGTTGGACAGGCGCAGCTTGGTCTGCAGCGTGTTGAAGTTCGTCTCCAGCTTGGCCTTCTGCTCGACGCGTGGCGGCTTGTGCTTGCGCCGGTAGGTGCGGTACTCCTCCAGCTTCTTCTGCACGCCCGCCAGCGAGTTGTCCGCCTGGCGGGAGTTCAGCCACGGCATGGTGCGGCGGATCCACTCCAGCAACTATATGGGATTTGGGGGTATATATTAGTATACGTTATCTATCCTATATATAATCTGGTTTACTCACATCACTGGCCAGACGCTCGTACTCCTCCATGAGGCGCTCGTTCTCCTGGTTGACCTTGAGCACCTTGCAGATGCGGTTGGCAGCGGTTTCCGCCTGGTTACATGGTTGGATGGGGGTGGAAAAGGAGGTTGCACATTAGAAGGCTTCAATCGTTTCGCTCTGAGTGTGCGTGTGTGTGTGGGCACGGAACGAACTCAGATTTGGAAAAGCGAGAACAAGACGAACAGGAAACGGAAACAGGAACAGGAACACCGGGCGCCGCGGCTCAGTCCAACTCAGCTCCATGCCAGCGATTCGATTCCGATTCGAACTGAACTGAACTGAACTGTGTGCCCTATATATATATTCGTATATAGAGAACGTTGCAGAAAGTAAAAGAAACGGAAACGGAGGAAGCAACAGAAAACGGGGCAAACAGATGCCATTTCAGTTAAGCGGTCTAGGGATTAGGATGCTCTGGCAAATCTGCAGTTAGCATAGCGATCTGTGTTCTTTGTAGGTGTTTATGGTATGATATGATGTGGCCAGGAGAATCAGTCAGTCGAATCTTGGAGATTTCAATTGGAAAAGGTGAGAGATGGTATTTAAAGTGTAATAATTTAATGAGAAAGAAGGATAGAAGGACAGTTTGGATAGACCGACTGATAGGAGTGTGATCTATTATGATCACTTGATACATATTAAGGATCCCTGTTCGGGCGCCATGTGTATGAAATGTGGAATGGTATTTAAAGTATAATAATTTAACGAGAAAGAAGGATAGAACGAAAGTTTGGATTGACCGACTGATAGGAGTGTGATCTATTATGATCACATATTAAGGATACCTGTTCGGGCGCCATGTGTATGAAATGTGGAATGGGTGTAGTGTTCTGCTTTTTTCTTTTTTTTTTTTGGGTGACTGGATGGGTTGTATAACAGACCTTTTGGGCGCCACTGAAGCAGTGATAGTACGAGGACACATAGGTCATCACCGCCCGCTCATCGGGCAAAGCTGTATTCTGCAGATCTGTGATCGAGTGTGTGTGTTTGATTTAGCATTTTTGATTTTGATTTTTTTCAGGAGGGTTGTTGTTGTTGTTGTAGTTGTTGTTGTTGTGGCGATTGCAGTTGCAGATTGGTTAATGGCAGTTGTTGGTTTGTTTGTTTTGATGAGCGGAGCGAGCGCGCACACAGAGAGATAATCAAAAAGAGAGAAAGAGAAAGAAAGCAACAAACATACAAATGGTGGTTAGTCTCAACAGGCATCGAACGGTATTACAGATATTCTGGGCTTAAACTAAGTTAGTTAATCATCTTAAAACATGCCGGCGCTCAAAACTCGATCACTTATTTTCTGGGAAATATATCAGGGATCGAGTTTCGGTTGCAGGCGCCAAATTAAACACTTATAAATATGGCAAGCTCAACATGGCAGCATTGCAGATTATTGGCAGAACATGCAGGGCGCACGGAACGGAGATATGTGGAACCTACCAACTGGAAATAGGCTAACCTGGGGTTAGAGACTCGGTTATTAAGGGGTTAAGGTTGTTAGAGGAAGGAAGCTTTCTTCTGCGTTATAAACGCTTTCTGAACAGTTGGGATCGAATAATAGATCAAGTATCCCGGCTTTATCGGAAACCCTAGCGAGTTTCGAAGTTAGCTTCATCATAATCTCCGATATCTTTGCGAGCGCAGTTAGTGGGGCAATAGTTAGCATCTGGCGGATGCGGATGCGAATGCATATGCGGATGCAAATGCGGATGCGGAATACAGGCCAATGCAAATCGAATCAAGACAAATCCAGGCGATTCAAATTTGATATAGGAGAGGGCGCAATTTCGTGGCGATTCAGATTCCCGCTGCCCTTCTGGTTGCTGTGTGACTCAGCCAGTGATTTTGGTTTGACCTTGGCTCGACCTTGGCCCCATACCGCTGCGACCTTGGCGCTTTCACGCGGCGCATTTGGTCAAGGTCTCCGCGGCGGCTAAAAACGGAAGCAACATCAGCAGCAGCAGCAGCGGCAACATCGCAAAATCGCATAAAAATATACTTAGAACGAGGAAGGCATATGGCTCATATATAGATATAGAGATATATGTATATCGATATGCCGCTAGAGCTAGATATTTAAGTGTATCGTGGTGAAGTTTAGTCACATTGTAATTATTCGGGACGTAGGTGTATTGTCTTGTGGGTTCGGGTACATGCGTCACATTTCCAACCTGTTGGGCTCCCTGGAAGGCGTGGTAGTAGCAGGAGACGTACGTCATGATGGCACGTTCATCCGGTTTCGGAGTGTTGATCAAATCTGTCGTTGTTCACCAATCGCAGTGATTAGAGCCGGAGCCCAGTAAATGGCTTATTAACTACGCTATCATCTCGAGTAGTGGGAGGAGTTGGAGTGATAATATCATTACTTTACCAATTATTAATTACTCGAAACTTTCCAAGGATCTCCTCCCATTACTGAGCCCATTACTGAACCCATTACCACCCATCTTCAGGCAATCAGTCCCCGGCAGACTTACCATCTGGATCCAACATGCGCGGAATATCCAGATACTTCTCGGCCACATCGAAGGCAGTGTTAAGATTCTCCAGAGGATTGTCTTTGGACAGCTTGGCGTAGTCGATAAGATCTGGACGATGGCGATGGATGAGGGCGCAGAAGGCCAGACCATCCTACAAAATAAAACATGGTTATTTAGGCCAGGCAATTAAAGGCTTAACCCATCCAGTTAACCCACCTTGAACGACAGATGGAAGTTCTGTACGTTGACGTTCTTGTAAGGAGCCGTCTTGCGCTGGCACCACAGCAGCAGACCCTCCTTGGCGGTCATCTCCTCCACGGAGATGTCCTGGATGGCGAAGCGCAGGATGATCGTCCAGATCATGCCCAGGGTCATCTTCAGGTTGCCATCGACGATCTCCTCGGCGCCAATGGACACCAGGTGGACGCCCTTGGAGGCGATGAAGTCGAGAGCCTTGTTCACGTTGGCGATCTTGTGGAAGCGCATCTTGCCGCGATCGGGCTTGGGCAGCGTCTCGCCGGAGATCACCTCCAGCAGCAGCATCAGCTTGAGGCCGTTGCGGAAGTCCTCCTCGATGTTGTCGATGGCGGTGCCGGCTTTGCGCAGATGACTGTTACACCAGGCGGTAAATGTCTGTGGATATGGGATATGTTTAATTTGTTAATGTTTTTAAAAGGGTTAAATATAAATATTAGTGGTTCTGTTTGAGGAAATAAGATTTAATGGAGAGTTAAGGGAAGGTATATAGCTTTTTCTTTATTATATATTATTATTATATATTTATTTCTAATAATACTAACATGTTAAACACTTGTATTAAGAAAGTATTGTATTTTGCTTTGGTATGAGTGGAATATATTTAAAAAGAAAACAAAATCGGAATTAATTAAAGAAATACCAAGATCGTAAAGTACCTAAAGAGGCCCCTTTTTGTGGGCGTGACACCCTGTATGGGGAAGGAATATTGCTTTTTCTTTATTATATATTTATTCTTTTACTAACATGTTAAACACTTGTATTAAAAAAGTATTGTATTTTGCTTTGGCATGATAAATATATACTCAAAAAGAAACAAAATCTCAATTGAATGGAGAAACACCAAGATCGTAAAGTACCTAAAGAGGGCCTTTTTTGGGGGCGTGACACCCTGTATGGGGGACAGCTGATCGCCGCCAGCTGTCCCCGAGTCGCAGTTCCTGTTTTTGTTTCGCCACCCATTTAGGGCAGTCCCAGCCCAGAGATCTCCCCCCTCCCCCTCCCCTTTTTTTCGCGACCCACTGTTGTTGCAACTGCGGCTGACAGTTGCAGTTATTTTTCACCGAATGGGGACAGACAGAACAAAGAGAAAACAAGAAAAGACAGCGGGCACATGTGTATGTATGGGTATAAACCAGTTCTTTTTTGCGCACACTTCATTATTTTGGAGGCCCCACCCCCTCCTCCTCCTCCTCCACCCACCCAATGGGTATATGGGTGTTGCTTACAACTCGGAATAGGTGTTCAGTTGCCTGGGAATATGCAGATCACTCATAAAATGGGCTTTATTGATTGGGCAGACCGGAACAATCGAAAAGGAAAGGAAGAGAAGGAGGAGGAGGAGGAGGAGTGGACCTAATCGATTGACAAATGGGCTGCATTTACGGCCTTATATGCATCACAATGGATCACCGCTAGAACGGGATCAAACATGCATAGCTTGTATAGAATATCGGGGGGACTCCACTTTATTGGCCATTAGCTTACAGTTAGGTGCGTGAGATCAGAGCGAGACAGAGAAAGGAGATAGAAAGGAGATAGAAAAGAGAGAAGATCTAAGCTGAGAACAAGAAATGCAACTGTTAATGCAAATGCCCCTCTCACGTAACGATCAAAACGGTTGCCGGGGACAGATTACACATTACCCACTCGAACAATAACAACTTGAACTAGGCCAGCAGCCGGAGAGCGCCAAAACAAGTCGCTCCGGCTTACCGCTAGGCTGCAGCTCGAGTCTCCATCTCGAGTCTCTGCCATGCAGCATCCAGTGTTGCCAGCAGAATGCAGGCATTCCCGTTAGATCTAGCTCTTTTCTAATAATACGTAATACCCATTTCCATAAATCTCTTTTATTTGTTTTTAAAAACATTCGAAAGCGGAAGTGAGTGCTATTTTTGACATTTATCGTCTTTCTCACACTCAAGTGTCATTTAATTGGGGAGATAGACAAACAGACGTCATTAAAGCGGCCTCAAAAGGACGCACTTAAGTGGGTCATCAAAACATAATTTAATTATAATTTTTGTTAAGGGATTTTTTTAAAACTGTTTACATTTTGGAGTTTTCCCACCGCCTTTTCCCCCTGAAAATCTAAAAATCTGGCAGCTCTGATTGTCGCAGCCTCTCCCTCCTTCTCTCTCTCTCACTGTTGCATTCCGGTAACCCGTTTTCGCCTCTGATCAATTACCGTTATCGGGCAGCGGCGGCGGCGGCAGAGGCCAGTGGCCTGCGCTTGCAGCGAAGCGCCAGAGTTGCCTGGACCAGCTTGCAGTCTCCATCTTCCAGATCTATGATTGAGCAATCTTTTTGGCCGGTCAAGGCGCACGCGCCAAGATCGAGAAAAAAAAGCAGCCAAACGAACGACGTCTCTTCCTTAGTTTTGTTTTTCTTTTTTTTTTTCTTAAAAAAAGCTTTTTTGGGGAAAGCTCTCTATTGGCAGAGCAGCAGAAGAATCAGCAACGCACTCGCTCTTGCACACCCATTTTTAGCCGAGTGTAATTTGAGCGGCCCCATAGCATGGACTCATTCGCACATGGCCAGGCGACCAAGCAGCCAAGCAGCCAGGCGGATGAGAATGGAGGAGGGTGGCAACCCTGGCCGATGATCCTCCTCATTCATTCACACCTTTCGCACACCCATGACTCATGAGCCCCACCACCCACACCCATGCAAATGCCCATCCCCTCTCTTTACACCTTTTGTTGCGCTGTTGCGATCAATGTAAACACAAAACAGAAACAATTTTATTTCAGTGGCTGTTTTCTTTCTTTTTTCGGCACTCATTATTCAGCAGCTGACGAATTCCGTTCGGTAATTTACGGTTACGAAATACATATATAGAGAAAGATAGAGAGAGAAAGAGAGATGCCACGCATACATGTCCGAGCATGTCAAGCTCAAGTCATCTGGCGACCGCCAAAAATCTTCATATTTTCGCTTTATTTTGCATTTATGTATTTTTCGACTTTTTTTCGATCTGTGTTAATTATTTTCAGTTTCGTTTGTGCGCCAGCGATTTGTCATTGCATTTTCGCCATGCTTTACGAGTGTGGGTGGCTGATGAATTTCGGATGCTCGGCCACAGATACAGCTACAGATACAGCAACAGCTACAGATACAGCCACTGAAGAGATATTCTGAATCCGAATCGCGTGGAAATGTGGTGCATAGGAATGCTGTCTATTTATAATTGTCAATTTCATTTCACCACCTAGGCGGCGTGTCAAAAACACAGCCTTGCACTAAATTTTGGCTGGCAATTTATAGAATTATGTATATAAATAATATATCTGTGCGGTTGCAGGTCTCTAGGTTAGAGCTCTTGGGGACGCAATGGGATGGGATCTGATAGGATGGAGTGGTTCTTTGGTCTCTGGGATAGTCACTTTTCACTATCTTTCGTTCTTTTTGGCCTTCTGGCTCTTATCGAGCACGACCTTCAGGTTTTTCTAGTTGTCCCCACCTCAATTGCCACCTACTTATGGATCGATGTTTCCAGCTTTATCTAAACAGTGGCAATTAGTTGCTGTTCTTCTTTTGACGCCACAGGTATAACGGTATGCTTCCGCTGGCTGCCAGACAGCGACAATCGACAATCGACAACCGACAGACAACAAACAAACAAACTAAGCGATGAAAAAGTGAAGATCAAAGGGATGCCAGGGGGTAATTGAGTGGAAACTGTATGGAAAATGGGTAGCCCAATGGAATGTAACCTTCGATTTCGATAGGGTTGGGTTGGGGGTTGGGTATCTTTCCCATGACGATCAGAGCAACCTGTTGGGTGGCTGGTGGATCGAAGACCATCAATTGGCATCCAATTGGATCTTCGATTTTCATAATCATAAGAGATCGAAGGCTCTTGGATATACGTTCTATATATGCCATCCTATATGTATAGTTCCTGAACAGCAACAAACTATTTTCGTGCTATCTTCAAACATTGCTCGAACAACAAGAGCCATGAAAATCAAGAAAGAAGAATTCTATTTTTAAAACGGCCCGCTGAGCTTTTTTTTGTAGTTTTTGTTCTGGCTTTTTTTTGTGTTAGTCCTATGTTGTTGTTGTTGCGGTGGTGGTGGTGTTGGTGTTGGCTCGGTAAAATATTGAAACATAATCGAAAAATATAGAACCCAGCCAGACCAAAGAGCATATATCCAATACATACGAACTACGGATACAGTAGTCATTCGAAAAATTGGGCTACAATATTCGAGAAGTTTTACAAAAATATGACAGAGTGAATCATTTTTGACCCCTTTGAACTCAATTGCAATATCACTATTTTACGTTTAGCTTAATTAATTCCTTGTAAAGTTTTGAATAGGAAATTTATGCTTTAAAAATGATAGGTAAATCCTGAAGAACTTTTATATTCTGACCTAGGGGGTGGGTATATTGTATGATATTTATGAAGTGTTGAATATAAAGACTTGAAGACTTAAGCTTCTTCGGCATAAATTTGCCATGACCCAGAATGCGATGGCATCGATTCCAGAATGTCTGACTGAGGGTTTTAGATTTGAATTGAAAATGGTTTCTGGTATTCGGTTTTAGGCAGGATTACTGGTGTTATAGATCAAAATAGTAAGGCTAGTTGGTTATAAAGATCTGATAGCTCATGAAAGGTAAGATTATCGGTAATTTAGAACAATATCCAAGGTTTCTTTGGGAGGCGGAACTGTAGTTCCCAGGATTACTAGTATTTGTGGGTTGCCTAGCACTATCTCCCCTCTCACTCACCTTCTTCTGTTGCTTCTCCCACGCAGGGTCGAGAAGGCCCTCGCGCTCCCACTCCTCCTCCTGCTCCATGTACCCATCTCCGTACTCCATGGAGAGTCCGTTCTCCATCATCATCTTGTGGCGCTCTCAGAAGTCCCGCTCGCTCGTTGTATATATCTAGCTCGTTCCCTGTCCCGCTGCACTCTCTCTCGCTCTCGCTGCTTCTGGTGGTGGTGCTGCTGTTGTTGCTGGTGATCCAGTTGCTGCTGCTGCCGAAGGAAAACGGAGGTTGTAGGTTGTTCGGTTGTTCTTTTTGCCGCGGCTCAAGTCGTTCGATTAGAATTGGTTTGGTTGGGTTTGCTTTTGCTTTTGCTATTGGTTCAGATTCTGGACAGTCTCTATATAACTGTGCCTGTGTGTGTGTGACTGAGTGCTGACTGACTGACAGACTGATTGATTGATTGATCGATCGATGGCGCAAAGCTGGCCCGAGTGAGTCCTGAAAGCTCTCCTCGAGAGACACAACAACGACGACAACAACAACCTGCCACAACAGGTGGTTGCCTTGCCGCCTTACCCGATCAACCCGATTAACCCGATTAACCCGCTAACCCCGCTAACCGTTTCCCGCTAATATTCCGAGTTGAAAAAACAATCGTATTGAATCATGAATTTGGACTGGCTAAATCGTTGTATAACACGTTAATTTGCTGCTTAATTATTTTCGCGTTTGCTTTGCTCGTTCTTTTGTGTGTTTTCCGCGCTCGTTCCGTTTCGTATCGTATCGTATCGGTTAAAAATAGTATGTTTTGAAAAAGTTTTATTTTCGGCGTCAACGTCAACGCAGCGAAGGGAAGTGGGCGGGGCCGCGGGCGGGGGCGGTAGCGGAGAAGGACGGTTCGGGATTGGTACATATTTGAAATAATTTTGAGAAATAGCGCGAATTCGGATCGGAAATCGGAACTGATCCGGTAAATATAGATCGATATACTCGCGCGGTGGGTTGCTCTCGTTCCCTTTTTTAAATTGTGTGTCTTATTTTTTATTGGTAGCACTTTGACTCTCTATATAGATCATATATATGCACATATTGTTCGGATATATATAGAGATATATGTGGTTAGGCATATATAACCATCGCACGCACACACACACACACACACCTTACACACATGCACAGTTTTCGTTACTTTTTTTTTTTTGCTTCGCTCATTTGAATTATTTTTTGAATTTTTTGTATTTATATTTATTTTTCAACGAGTACCAAAAAAAAAAAACCAAAAAAAAAGAAAATAGAGTATAGCGAAAGCAAGTGAGTCGGTTAGCCAGAGATATATATATGCACATATATAGATATATATATAGTATATATCTATATCTATTCGTGTGTGTGTATTGGAACCAAACAAAAACAAAAACAACAAAACAATCTGTGTGGACAGCAATTGGAGCAATATCTACGTGTGTCGCTTGCGAAGAGAAAGACCCGCTCGCGTTGATAGCCAACTCAAAACTGATGTCGCGCCAGCCAGCTGCCAACTCTGAATACCGTCGCAGTCGCAGTCGTCGTCGCAGTCGCCGCTGCTGCTGCTGCTGCCACCCGCACCCCTTGCCCCCATCCAACCGATCCGCCGCCCCACCTGGCCCACATCACATCGCCCACCGCACCACATCCACATCCACTACATCCACCACATCCACAGCAGCCGAAGAAGAAAAGTCTGGCGTGCAGCGGGAGCATCGGATCGAATCGGATCGGTTTGGATCGGTTGCTTTGGCTTTGGCTTTGAATAGCCGAAGATCCAAATTATCCGAAGATCCCAACATCCGAACATCCGAAGACCCGAACCTCCAACGACCCAGAGACGCAGAGTGTAGAAGGCAGAGAGTGGGAGTGGGTGGCAAAAGAAAGTATGAATTCGGCCAGCATAAGCGTACGAGTGGTGGGACCCTATAGTTTTGATCATGATATAGGGGTATGCTGTGCGCTGGTTATCTAGTAATTATCTGGTAATCTATGTTTTTCCAAAAAAAAAAATTCCCGTAAATAGGTTTATTTGTTCGTTCACGAGGTATCCTGAAGATAGGGTTCGGGGACCCAAAAATATTATTGTAAAGCTGTGGAAATATGTGTTATAATTAGCTAAATATTTCACTTACATTATAATTATATAATTAGAATTAACCTTTTCAAGTTTCGAAGACCTATTATGTTGTACTTCTTAATCCATTAATTTTTTTAGTTATGTGAGTTATTTAAGATCCTCAGACTAAGGGGTATCGCAAATATTTTACTTGGATTATAATTACAATTATATAATTATTACAAAAACATTTTTCAAGTTTCGAAGACCTCTTCTGTTGTAACTCTTAATATATTTATTTTTTTAAACAATTTTTTAGTTATGTGAGTCATTTAAGATCCCCAGACTAAGGGGTATCGCCAAGTCCACACTCTTTAGCCGGCGATCTTTCTTGTTTTTGCTCATTTGCAGCTGCGGCTTGCAGCCTGCTCCCTGTTTCGTTTTTTTTTTGCTTGGTCTGCGGCGAAGAAGAGAGCTCTTGGACCCCCATTAGTGAAATTGGTAGGAAAATGCAGTTGCAGGCGACACACGAGGAAAGTAAGTGGGGTCTGGGGGAAGGGGAAGGGGCACCCTGTATGCGATACATGCGAATGCGAATGCGAGACGACAACAACTTGTTGGCCCCCACGTCAGCTTGTCTGTCTCTCTGTCTCCCCACCTCCTCCACTCCCCCCGGGACCCTCCTGGTTTTTAGTTTTCAGTTTTCCGTTTTTCTCCTCGTCTGTCAGCGAGTCAGCATCAGACATCCACCAATAACCCCCCTTCCTGGGTCTTCGGAAAACGCCCCCGCATAACTACGAAAATAGCAAATTGTTAATTTCGCTTCGAAAACTCTTTTCCAATACACACACGCACGCAAATCGCGAATCGGCGAAGGAGAAGGGTTTTTTTTTGTTGGGGGGGAGCACATGATTTTATTGGCATGCTTTCATGGTTTTTCCGTGCGAAACATTTCATTTTTCATTCCACATTTCACATTTTTCAACACGCTGCTACATAGGTTTGCCTTTTTAGCGGGGCGAACGAGAGAGATGATATTTATGAAATTTATTAAATATGCTCGCAAGCCACAAAATCAAGGATAGCGATTAGCTAGACCAATAAAAACCACCCACAATAAGTGTGGACATTCGGCCGTCTCCCTCGCACACTACATGCATCTCGCTCGCTCCGAGTGGGAGCTTTCGAAAGCTCCAGATGTAGGATCCTAAGATCTCTAGATTCGATTTGAATGGAGAATCTGGGAAAACGTTTATTCCAAGAGAATAAAGGATTCCAGCAAGGATTCCCGAGAACACGTCGCTTTGTCCCAATTTTAAGCTATTCCTTGGCCTGAGATATAGCGATAAGATAGAGAGAGATATATAGACAGAGATAGAACCCAAATTCGGCTATTTATAGATCATAATGTGCGTCGTCAGCAACGAGTTTTGTTCTTTTTTCGAAAACAATATCTATTCTTAGTCGCTGCTTGTGCGTTAATACCATATTTTTGTAAATACATACTAACATACATTCCCGCTGAGACATAAATTGTATAAAAATTGACCAAATGCCATTTGAAAGGCAGCCACATCAAGGTGAGGAGTGGGGCAAGCACGACACCCGAATACGCATGCAACAGGTACAGTGCGGTTCGCGAAGAGCAGGCGATCCTTTCAAGGACCAGAACTCTGGTTTCATTTTGAAATTTGAAAGGAAAGTTTAACGGATCTCAAGATCTTTCTAACTGTATTAAGTACAACCTAAAAAAGAACTACTACTATCATGCATTTAGGAGACTTGAAGGATTCGATTACTGGTGGGTAAAAATCGGGCTTTAAATAGAGCGTCTATTTTTGAACAGTTTGCACTGTGAAATTTATTTATTACCTCCATCTAATTATATCACACATATATTTGGAAGAAAGCCAACTATTGAAAGGCCTTTAGAATAAATCAATTAACTATTAATACAAAAATTTTATTAGCAAACGAAAAGATTCTTATAATTCGAATTCGACTTACAGTCCCGAAACGCACCGCTCGTGTGGACAATTGGATTAATCGCAGATCCCGCGATCCGAATATATCCAAGATAAAACGACAATATATCTTGTTATGCAGTTTATATTTTATACATAGATAATTTTTGTTGCTTTTCGTCTGTTTTGTATCTCGCATGTAATTAATAACGCCTGGGTACAATTATGTTAAAAAGTAATTACAATTGATTTAGAACGGGGCCAGCACCGCAGAAATGCGCCTGCCGACATATATGCATATGTATACCGAACTTGTATGTTTACATACGTCTGTAGATCGTAACTATTCATTAATTTTAACCTTTATATATTTAGCTTTAGTTTAACTTTTACTTTTAACTTTTACTTTTACTTGCTTGTGTGCTTCTTCTCTTTTTTCGTGTTTTGTGTTCTTTTCAAGTTTTGGATTTTGTTTGTTTTTCGTTTACGGGGACATAAACGTCGAGGAGGCTAATCTTCATCTTAAGGAAAACATTTTCTACATCAATAATAATAATATTAGGTAATAAAAAAAAATAAACAATTACATACACATTTAGCGTAATATTAGAGGGGCTTTTGGAGGATATCGTGGGGGGGAGAGGATATAGAGAGGAGAAATGCCAACAAACGCAATCACAATGCCTACTCCAGTTTCATTGCCAGCCCAGGCGGCGGCGGCGCCTCCAGCTGCTCGAGGAAGAGCTCCTCCAGCGGCCGGTCGCTGGTGATGCGGAAGAGGAACAGGTGGTCCTGGCACTTCAAACTGATCGAGCGCAGCGCGGGCAGGCGCAGCAGCAGCTGCGCGAAGCGTCCGTCGTCGCCGGGGTGCTCCAGACGACAGTGCTCGTCCAGGCAGGCGTACACCTTCTCGCGGCACATCTCGATCTCCGCCCGGTTCTTGATGCCGCGTATGTCCGGGTTGTACAGTATGATCGCCTTCAGGCAGGCCAGCTCGCGTCGGTCCAGATTCAGGCGCTTCATCTTCACGCTCAGCTCGGAGAGGATGCGGTCGAAGATGGCCGAGACGCCGGCCTTGATGGCGCTGTTGCGATGGTACGAGAAGCTCTGGTTGAGGAACAGCTGCTGCGGCTGCAGCCCCGGCGAGCGCCGCTCGAAGGAGCCGTCGTGGCCGCCGCCTCCTCCTCCTCCTCCTCCTCCACCGCCATCGTCCAGCGAGACGATGCTGCACCAGGCCACGTTCGCGATGAGCAGCTCGATCCAGGCGGCCTTCAGCAGGATCACCTGGTCGTCCAGCGGCACCTGGGCGAAATGGGGCATCAGGCGCGCGTACTCGACCATCTGGAAGAGCTGCTTGTTGACCACCTGGCACAGGGCGGACACGGCGCCCTTGTAGTCCGGCTGCACGGTGGAGTAGGGGCCGACGCGCAGGAAGGTCAGCGCCCGGTCGCCGCTCTGCGTCTCGGCGCGCTGCTCGGCCTCCAGGATGCGCTCGATGGAGAAGTCCCTGGCCACGCCGCTGTTGCCCATGAAGTCGGCCTCGGAGCCGTTGCCGCTGCCAGGGGGCATCCCGGATCCTCCGCCGCCAGCTCCTCCTCCTCCTCCTCCACCGCCACCTCCGCTGGAGCCGCCCAGGGAGCCGGTACCGCTGCCCCCGCCGCCTCCTCCGCTGGCCGCCAGCCTGCCTGCCGCATTGCGGGCGCCACGCTGACGCTCCTCCTGCACCGCCTCGCGCTTCATGCCGCAGGTGAGGCACTTCTGGTAGCGGCAGTACTGGCAGCGGTTCCGCTGCCGCTTGTCGATGATGCAGTTGCGGTTCTCGCGGCACGCGTATGTGAGATCCTTGCGCACCGTGCGCTTGAAGAAGCCCTTGCAGCCCTCGCAGCTGTACACGCCGTAGTGCTTGCCGCTGGCCCGGTCGCCGCAGATGGAGCACAGGTGCTTGCTGCCGCTCAGCGGATGGTTGGGCGGATACTGCTGCTGCACTGCAGCGGCTGCAGCGGCGGCGGAATTGGGCGCCTGCGCCATCTGCGAGTCACCGCCGCCACTGTTGTTATTGCTGGAGCCTGAGCCTGAGCCTGAGTTGGGCAGGACGTGGACCATGGACATGGCCTGCATGAAGGGACCGGGACTCTCGGCCTTCGGCGAGAAGCTGCTGTTGTTGCTGTCGTTCAGCTGCGAGATGTCCGGCTTGACCTCCTCCTTGATGTGGCTCAGCCGGAAGCTGGCGTCCTGGTCGCAGTTGTTGTCCATCGTGGGATGCGGATGCTCCTCCTCGGGGTTTCTCTTTTGCTAGCGCTCTTCTTCGCTTGCGAGTGCGAGTGTGTGTGTGCTTTCACCTCCCTCTCTCTCTCTTTCTCTCTCCGTGTGGGGGTTTCACTTTGCCAACGCCACCGTGTCCGTTCCGTCCGTCCGTCCGCTCGCTTTTTCGACCAAGTGGATGGGGCCAAGTGGAGCAGAGCAGCTCGCTTTGCTTGCTGTTTATTTGCAGTTCGCCGCTGGGGCCACGGGCTGCATTTACATAATCTTGGGCCGCTGGAGCCGCGCACTGGTCTCGCTCGCCGCCAAAATGCCAAACAATTGCGCTTTTTAGTTTTAGCAACAAACTAAGAATGCCAGACTTTCTGACTAATGCATTAAAACCTTTTTTCGCGTCGACATTTTTTCTCAACAAAGACTAACTCACCACGGCGGAGCAACTCACCATCGTGGAGATGGGCGCGTGACACAGGTTGCGCAGTCACGGTCACGACTTTGGCCATTTGTGATAGGATGAATGGCATTATCTCGTGGTTAGTAAAGGGGAAAATATTAATATTACAAGTTATTAAAAATTAGAGTTACTATCTTTAACACTATCTTAATTGGGATAATATATTATCTGCCTAAAATGTAAACATTCCCGTATGACGACTCGCGCATCTCTATTTCACCAAAACAGTGGATAGAGTTGTCCGCTCACCTGCTTAAACTCATTTCAGTAGGCGTCTGTGCCCCAATTAAGGCGCCAATTACCATTGAAGCTGCCCAAAATGAATCATCTTGGCTTTCTTAGCCCCCAAGTAATGCTTATCAATCAGTCAATCAATCGAGTTGAATATGCGACAGCCCTGGCAGCCATTGCAAAACTCACCACACGAATGCAACACTGCGTCTGTCTGGCTCCCCACACCCCTGCTCACCACCCCACCCCGCCAACCACCCACACACTGCCACAGTGCAAATAATTTTGCCCCGCTGCAATTATGGGGAAATGCGAAATGGAAACGCGACTGTGCGCCAATTTCACCGCTGCCGGCGGCAGCCTCGACCCCAAATCGCCGTCGCCGAGAATCGAGCGGTTTGGCCACTGAACTGGAACCGCGAAGCCGACGGCAAGCCAAACCAAAACCAACCGAATTAGGCGAAATGCAAATGCAACTTACTTGCAGCCAGTGGCTTTGGATGCGCCGCAAGGTGACGCTCAGCGCTCACGGTTGTTTATTTACCTTTTTGTTTGGCTATCGGCTATCAGTGCTCGCGGGCACACACACACACACGTTTACGGACACGGACGCACGACGCTGATTTAATTTGTTGCAATCGCTATTGTAATTGTAGTAATTGAGTCCATCATCACAAAGAGACGCGGTAATTGGCGAATGCGAAACAACAGCTGACGAGTGGTGAGAAAGCCCGTTTGAAGGCGGGGTGAATAACTGGTTTGTCCGTGGTGAAGAAGATGAATTTGAGATGGGCAAAGAATCGTTTCTTCCAACGGCCGGTGACTGTCTCCGGTATCGCGGTACGGTGTATTCGCTAGGGTGGTGGGTTAGACTTGGGTTGTGAGCTCGGCTAGATGTTTAAACTACGCGCCGATTTCGATGCGCATGGCAAGATGCAAATTTAACAATTTTAAAATTTTAGTAAATTAATTACAGTATAAAAAATGAATGTTACAGCAAAAAACAAAAAAAAAATTCATATTTTTGTCAAAAACCCAAATTCCTAATCTCCAAAAAAAAACAAAACGGGTTTTTTCGCTAAAACAAACCAAATACTGATTCAAAGTATGGATTGTCATACCTTTTTAAAATCTCTATTAAATTTCCTAAAGGTTGGCATTTAAACCTTGACATTTTATTTATTTTTAATTTTTCGAAAAAAATCATGGGGTACCCCCTTATAAAAAAATTAAAAATTGGCGAAAATTTTATTTTTCCAAAATCATACGGAAAGTTTTATGGATTTATAGCAAATTTTGTTATCTGTTCAAAACAGTATGAATTTTTGGTGTAGGACCATTTTTGGCCAAGTTACAGCAAAAAAACCAAAAGAAAAATTCGAATTTTTTTCAAAAACTGAAATCCCGAATTTCCAAAAAAAAACCAAACCCGTTTTTTCGCTAAAACGAACCAGTTTTTTCGCTATAACAAAGCAAATACTGATTCAAAGTATGGATTGTCATACCTTTCTGAACTCGTCATTAAATTTCCTAACGATTGGCATTTAAACCTTAACAATTTATTTATTTTTAATTTTTCGAAAAAAATCATGGGGTACCCCCTTATAAAAAAATTAAAAATTGGCGAAAATTTTATTTTTCCAAAATCATACGGAAAGTTTTATGGATTTATAGCAAATTTTGTTATCTGTTCAAAACAGTATGAATTTTTGGTGTAGGACCATTTTTGGCCAAGTTACAGCAAAAAAACCAAAAGAAAAAATTCCAATTTTTGTCAAAAACTGAAATCCCGAATTTCCAAAAAAAAACCAAACCCGTTTTTTCGCTAAAACGAACCAGTTTTTTCGCTATAACAAAGCAAATACTGATTGAAAGGATGGATTGTCATACCTTTCTGAACTCGTCATTAAATTTCCTAACGATTGGCATTTAAACCTTGACAATTTATTTATTTTTAATTTTTCGAAAAAAATCATGGGGTACCCCCTTATAAAAAAATTTAAAATTGGCGAAAATTTTATTTTTCCAAAATCATACGGAAAGTTTAATGGATTTATAGCAAATTTTGTTATCTGTTCAAAACAGTATGAATTTTTGGTGTAGGACCATTTTTGGCCAAGTTACAGCAAAAAAACCAAAAGAAAAAATTCCAATTTTTGTCAAAAACTGAAATCCCGAATTTCCAAAAAAAAACCAAACCCGTTTTTTCGCTAAAACGAACCAGTTTTTTCGCTATAACAAAGCAAATACTGATTGAAAGGATGGATTGTCATACCTTTCTGAACTCGTCATTAAATTTCCTAACGATTGGCATTTAAACCTTGACAATTTATTTATTTTTAATTTTTCGAAAAAAATCATGGGGTACCCCCTTATAAAAAAATTAAAAATTGGCGAAAATTTTATTTTTCCAAAATCATACGGAAAGTTTTATGGATTTATAGCAAATTTTGTTATCTGTTCAAAACAGTATGAATTTTTGGTGTAGGACCATTTTTGGCCAAGTTACAGCAAAAAAACCAAAAGAAAAAATTCCAATTTTTGTCAAAAACTGAAATCCCGAATTTCCAAAAAAAAACCAAACCCGTTTTTTCGCTAAAACGAACCAGTTTTTTCGCTATAACAAAGCAAATACTGATTCAAAGTATGGATTGTCATACCTTTCTGAACTCGTCATTAAATTTCCTAACGATTGGCATTTAAACCTTGACAATTTATTTATTTTTAATTTTTCGAAAAAAATCATGGGGTACCCCCTTATAAAAAAATTTAAAATTGGCGAAAATTTTATTTTTCCAAAATCATACGGAAAGTTTAATGGATTTATAGCAAATTTTGTTATCTGTTCAAAACAGTATGAATTTTTGGTGTAGGACCATTTTTGGCCAAGTTACAGCAAAAAAACCAAAAGAAAAAATTCCAATTTTTGTCAAAAACTGAAATCCCGAATTTCCAAAAAAAAACCAAACCCGTTTTTTCGCTAAAACGAACCAGTTTTTTCGCTATAACAAAGCAAATACTGATTGAAAGGATGGATTGTCATACCTTTCTGAACTCGTCATTAAATTTCCTAACGATTGGCATTTAAACCTTGACAATTTATTTATTTTTAATTTTTCGAAAAAAATCATGGGGTACCCCCTTATAAAAAAATTAAAAATTGGCGAAAATTTTATTTTTCCAAAATCATACGGAAAGTTTTATGGATTTATAGCAAATTTTGTTATCTGTTCAAAACAGTATGAATTTTTGGTGTAGGACCATTTTTGGCCAAGTTACAGCAAAAAAACCAAAAGAAAAAATTCCAATTTTTGTCAAAAACTGAAATCCCGAATTTCCAAAAAAAAACCAAACCCGTTTTTTCGCTAAAACGAACCAGTTTTTTCGCTATAACAAAGCAAATACTGATTGAAAGGATGGATTGTCATACCTTTCTGAACTCGTCATTAAATTTCCTAACGATTGGCATTTAAACCTTGACAATTTATTTATTTTTAATTTTTCGAAAAAAATCATGGGGTACCCCCTTATAAAAAAATTTAAAATTGGCGAAAATTTTATTTTTCCAAAATCATACGGAAAGTTTAATGGATTTATAGCAAATTTTGTTATCTGTTCAAAACAGTATGAATTTTTGGTGTAGGACCATTTTTGGCCAAGTTACAGCAAAAAAACCAAAAGAAAAAATTCCAATTTTTGTCAAAAACTGAAATCCCGAATTTCCAAAAAAAACCAAACCCGTTTTTTCGCTAAAACGAACCAGTTTTTTCGCTATAACAAAGCAAATACTGATTCAAAGGATGGATTGTCATACCTTTCTGAACTCGTCATTAAATTTCCTAACGATTGGCATTTAAACCTTGACAATTTATTTATTTTTAATTTTTCGAAAAAAATCATGGGGTACCCCCTTATAAAAAAATTAAAAATTGGCGAAAATTTTATTTTTCCAAAATCATACGGAAAGTTTTATGGATTTATAGCAAATTTTGTTATCTGTTCAAAACAGTATGAATTTTTGGTGTAGGACCATTTTTGGCCAAGTTACAGCAAAAAAACCAAAAGAAAAAATTCCAATTTTTGTCAAAAACTGAAATCCCGAATTTCCAAAAAAAACCAAACCCGTTTTTTCGCTAAAACGAACCAGTTTTTTCGCTATAACAAAGCAAATACTGATTCAAAGTATGGATTGTCATACCTTTCTGAACTCGTCATTAAATTTCCTAACGATTGGCATTTAAACCTTAACAATTTATTTATTTTTAATTTTTTGAAAAAAATCATGGGGTACCCCCTTATAAAAAAATTAAAAATTGGCGAAAATTTTATTTTTCCAAAATCATACGGAAAGTTTTATGGATTTATAGCAAATTTTGTTATCTGTTCAAAACAGTATGAATTTTTGGTGTAGGACCATTTTTGGCCAAGTTACAGCAAAAAAACCAAAAGAAAAAATTCCAATTTTTGTCAAAAACTGAAATCCCGAATTTCCAAAAAAAAACCAAACCCGTTTTTTCGCTAAAACGAACCAGTTTTTTCGCTATAACAAAGCAAATACTGATTCAAAGTATGGATTGTCATACCTTTCTGAACTCGTCATTAAATTTCCTAACGATTGGCATTTAAACCTTGACAATTTATTTATTTTTAATTTTTCGAAAAAAATCATGGGGTACCCCCTTATAAAAAAATTTAAAATTGGCGAAAATTTTATTTTTCCAAAATCATACGGAAAGTTTTATGGATTTATAGCAAATTTTGTTA